CGTTATAAAACCCTGTCAGAGCATGAGATACTGAGGACACCTCATATGATCGAGAGTCGAGAGGCAAAGATAAAATGCCGTATTGTATTCAATATGATGCTTGGAATTTCAATGCATTGACACTAGGACAAATATATAAATCATCACCAAAATGGCATCCCAACCTGGAAACTCATCTAACTCGTGATAAATACAATAAATCTGCTTCTTGCATTTTTGCTGATTTGGTTGTTTTTTTGTGTTATAGCATGAATTGATCTGGCTGCATCTCACGATTTTGACCATTATAGACTTATTATATGCTTACTCTTTTCGAATCATCTGATCTTACTTTTCGTTTGAGGAGTCCAATACTATTCAATTATTGCTCCCGTATTGTCATGCTTTGGTTATTGGACTAGTTTTGCTTGTACGACTTTTTATTGACACCCTCTCTACCCGATTTGCAACTAGATTGTTCTAAATCTTTCGGACCTATATACAATAAAACATCAAAATAGATTTCCTCAGGGTATCAGAATGACACACAACTAAGCTGATTGTGGACATTTAAGGCCTATTAAAGAACGGAGAGCTCGCGGATATTACTTATCTGATAGTCCACTTTGATCCCATTCGTTGATAACATTTGTTATTATCGCTGTAGTACCTATATATATTTTTTTTTTAGCAAGGATCAAGTCACTATCAAACCACCTCGTGATAATCGTTTTGACATCTTTGCATTCTAGAGAGGTAGGTAAGGGAATGATTATACAGGCAAATTGTCTTTGCTGTACAAGTATTAGACATAGTTTGTAATAACTTAACATTGTGAAGATGTTGGATCACAAAAAAAATCTTTTTTCTTTTCAGCATAATGGGGATTTCAAGGTATTTGTTTTTGTTGGGCTTATCAGCAGTAATATGTGAGTAGTTTTGTGTAATAATTTCATTTTTAATATAAAATGTTCCATTATTTTAGTGTATATAGGATTCTTATGGCAGCAATAGGGGGTGGCTCAACTACCATAGCAACTGGTTGAACCGAGTCCACGGACCCCCACCCCTACGAAAAATACAGGGAAAGAAAACCTCTTCAATCCCTGTAAGATTTGAATTGTACATCGGACCACCATGCTCCAGATGTGCATGTAATGTAATGTGCTATAATGGAAAACTTATTTCAGGCTCATATGCTGTTCTTGCACAAATAAGACAAATGGTAAATGCTGGTGCTGAAGGACAATAACTTCTTGAATAAATAATATTATATTTATCTGTGTTATATTTATTTATGTATTTAGTGACAATGAAATTCTAAGAATTTTATTATGGACTTAATGAATAGCTCTATAGGCTATGTCTCATTATAGATGATTACCTTTCACACAAATAGTCAATCCTAGCATGGATTCTTAAAATTTACAAAACGCGCAGTTCCATTACAATGTTTCTGGAGACACATGGAATGTAACTCTACCACCTAGAGTGCCTTTTGGACATTGAACTACCAATTACTCCAAACGTCTTGGGGTCAATAAATTCTAGGAAAAGATCAATTGGCAAGAATATGATGACTCTAACTCCAGTCCCATTTGGCTTCAATGTGAAAAATATTTCCGAAGTACTAGTTACCAAGTAACACACCCAAACAAGTTTATTTATTTTCACCGTAATTGTAAGAAATAAGATCCAAAATAGTTATCTTCTCGTCCGATAACGTAACGATAAAATTGTTAAAATTCTAAATCTTCGATAATATATTGCTAATGCCTGGCTACATTTCAAATTACGCATATGCACATTTCATTGCATTTCTTCGATAGTCCAATAAAGTGCTCAATACTCTAAAACTCTATGAGAAGAGAATTTTTGTGTATTTCGGTTATTATTAAATAAATTGTAAATATTTTGAAGGATCAATCGATATTATCTCCCATGTGATGTGTCTTAAAGTTCCATGAATTTCCTAGAATATTTGGAGCATGGAATTCTACTTTTCAAAAGATCTAAATATTGAAGGGATACAAATCCTAGGCCCGTGCTTTTAGTGGGAATTGTATCATCGTATCACCCATAAAGTTTATTTATTCATGTATCACAATATAATGTGATACAAATGTTAAAATAATAAAACCAAGGGTTAATATTCGTTTGTTGATCTTAATCTTTGATGTAAGATAATGATCTGTATAATTCACAATCTGATGCCATCCCTTTTATCCACAATAATTAAACATTAATTGGTATTATACTAATATTAATATGAGTCCAATAGATATAATACGACCAAAATACTTATAATAGGGATGAAAATCGATGTAAAACGAGAGGTTAACGTATTAATTAAGAGATATCTAATGATTACTTATATTTCCTTACATAGGAAAATCGATTATAATGATTTCTAACATTGGTGATGAAGTAAAAACACTTAATAAAATCAGGACAAGTACAAACCAGACTTGATTGTTTGAAGAAGCAAGTAATATACCTGGAGAGGCAATTATGTATGGTGTTCAGTTGTAGTTATGTAAATAGTCGGCTGTCGGCATTTTTCAGGGTATCAATCCATTTTTTCGGGGAGGGTGGGGGGTATTGTCTGAGTACACATAGTGCATATACAGTAAGAAGTGTATATTTGTATATTCAGCAGACAATAATTAATGTATATATACAATAAGTAATATGTACTTGTATAGTATTAACAACATACAACAGCATACATATTATTTCCAATGTTTCATCATGAACAGTCTCTGAAGAATATCGACTTCTGATTTTGAAAGAAGTTTCTGATAAATTGAAATCTACCTAGAAAACTAAAATCAGACAAAACAATTCCATTGCAAAACAAGTCCATTGCAACTATAGGGTTTCCATTTAAAATCATTCTACCATCTCAAGATAAGTTTTCTATACAGGTTTTTCATGTAATCTATCCATCTCAAAATAAGTTTCCCATTTTATTTCGATCTCAAAATAAATTTTCTTCAAATGAAATCCCGATTTTCTGAATCAATTCGGCTTGCAAAATAAATCAATTTTTGATTTATACACTAAAGTCAGTATGCAAGTGGTCCTTTACTTTCGTTTTTGGGAGCTTTTTTCGTTTTTGATTCCTATGTCTAACGAAGACGGAACTCGGAAATGAATTAAAATCGGAAGTGGGAATGTCCCGACTCGGCTTTTGTATCTAACAGACTATGTGATGATGATAATCAAGTTGTCCGTGCCTCTCGTTATCAATAGTGAAGTATAAAATGATTGTAATTTTTAATATTAATGATTAATGATAGAACTAATGTCGTCATCATACTCAGCCAATAATCTTCCAGTATACTGTATATATACATTTTTGATACCAAAACATCATCTGGAATACTTCTATTGTGGGGATTCTTTCTTATTTTAATCTGTCACTACACTTGCTTTGAGTATCGTTTTCTACGACTGTTTTGAATGAAATGTAGTCTGATCAAACTTCTTAAAAGCATCGGATAATACCAGTTGAGTGGTTTGATACCATAGCTTTAAAAGAATTTTGATATTTTTAAAGTTATATTTGTTATCAGTGTATGTTCATCGTAAAAATATCATATTAACAATTATTTTGGAGAGCTGTTGTGGGAACTATTTTGGAATTTAACGGGCACCTGCAAAGTTTTGATTTACCAGCATAGCTGCTGACTTAATTTCAGGTTCCGGGTGCATACGAACGTGCATTACTATTATGTGAAAATACCAATTAAAACAATGGGCTTTTATTTATTTGTGTTCTGTGCTCTATGTGTTGGTGCGACATATGTGACGAGCGTGACAGAAATTAAAATTGGAACCTTATTAATATCTGAACACCATGCACCTTACACAATGGAAAGAGTAGGCCCAGCACTGGATGTAGCTTTTGATGAAATCAACTCGAATATCCTAAATGAGAGTTATAAATTGGTGCAAGTAAAAGTAGCTTATGATAATATTTGTAACGCACGTTACGCTACAGGTTAGTTCCTAATAATTCTTGCAGTAGTGATTCTGTTAATCATTGGGTTTGAGGCCGAGTATGGTCCACAGAATTGTTAAGGTCGGCTTAAAGATAACTTTCTTCCCGCGTCCACTGATAACAAATTTTAGAAGGGAGGGGATAGAGAGGGGAATTTGTGTAAGACCAATGTATTTTCAATACTAGTAATATTATCAATCTATGACATGATGATTCTATTCACTTGCATCTTGTTATTAGTTAAGCTTGTATATATATGTATTTTGACGACTATGTATCTATAACTATAGAACAAAAGACTTGTCATTTTAGATACGGAAGCTTTTTCGTACCAGAATGTTCGTAGAGGAAAGTTTTTTAAATTTTTTTCCCAATTTACTTAACAGGTGTAGCTTCTAAACTGTATTATGAAGAAAAGATTGTAGCCTTGATCGGACCAGCTTGTTCCTATGCTTTAGATGGTGTTGCCAGATTAGCAGGCTTTTGGAATATTCCAATTGTTACAGGTAAATTCAATACACTATAATATAATTACACAAATGACAGCAGGGTTACATAATACATATAGCTACATAATTTGGAAATGGCGTAACATTTCTTGTATGAAAAGGACAAGTTTGGAAATACAATCGAGATAACGACTTCTATCATTATGGTCATATGTCATCAAGATTTAAATAAACACTGATAGAGATCGTCATCAATATCATTAGACTGATTGAGGCCCAGTTGGTGAAATTACATCGTCTTTATTACATCCGGTTTCAATCCAAATGGATTATAGATCATGTATATTTAATACGGTCGCAAATAGACTATCATTAATCAGTCTGTTTTGCTGAATTGGTGTTTATATTAAAGGGACAGTCTGCTTTTTGTTAGTAAGTTGGAATGTCCCTAGCCTTCTCTTAATGTTTTCGCTAAAAAGTATCTTGATGTCCAGTTTTTAGAACGCCGAAATTATTCAACGAGTTTACTTAAATCGTTTTTAGTATAATTTTAGAGCATTTTGCATAATAAGAATGTCTATACTACTCTATAAATTAACTTATTCTTTTCTCGATAAGGAATACTAGCTTTGAAGTGTATGGAAATAGATGATATTATTATCAAAAGCCGGTTTATTTACACACATCGTGATTACAGGAGTAAAACAATACTTTTAACTCAACTGATTGATGTCATAATTACCAATGTTTTTTAAATTTTGTATGTGTATCGGGGACAATGATAGCATCAATTTGCACCATTCCAATTCAAATCAGACGTCTGTGGTTCTAGCAATTCTACTAAAACCAAGTGTTTATGACGTCACCCCCACCCCCTGCAAAGGTCTTATGGGATACAAGCACATTTTGCGGGGGTGACGTCATAAACACTAAGTTTTAGTGGAATTGTGGGAACCTCAGATGTCCGATTGAAAATAAGAATAGTGCAAACTAATGCTATTGGTGTCCCTGATAACAATAAAAAATTAGAAATCCTCTTTACAATCCTTTTAAAACCTGCATTTCATGATACTCAATGATATTGATGTATCTTCTATTTTTGATAACTGTTACTTAAACTCACAGAAGTACTTAAAATGTATCAGAGGTGAGGAACTCCCTAACATATTCCAATTGAAATTGTACAAAAGTAGGCTAGATCCTGCAGGTTTTGCATTGGTTAGAGCTGAAGACAAAGATTCTCATTAAGTATTATCAATAACTAAAAGAATACCATTTGCATATGTCAGTTAAATTGTTATCGAAGTCAATTCCAATGTTAGATTCCATGAGTGGCTATTGGCAGTTAAACATTTCTAGAAGTTAAAGGTAAATTTCTCACCAGCTTTCGATATTTAGTCTGAAGAAGAATTGTTCAATGTGCGTTAAGTATATTTAGATTTACTAAACGTGAGGCCTACCTTCAAAAAATATCATAACAAGTTCAGATGTATATATTGTACTATAAATTATCACATGAATTATCATTTTTGTTATCACGTATTCCTGTTATTACCATTGATTGTACAACAGCTTGTTACAGTCACCTATTCATGTATCTAACCTTGAAGTATGTAATGTACTTAATGTACTTGTGACGTTATTATTGTTAATAATAACAAATAGTGCAAACCTTATCACTCTTTGCATTAAATACCAACTTCATTCAAAAGTAAGACACAAAATATCTATAGATGACGATAGACACAATTAAATAAGACAAATGGGTTAATTCCTGGCAGGCGCGTATCTGGCAAATGCTCGATTAAATAAGGGGCAAAAATGAAATGAGTCTTTCCGAGGCGAGACCCGAAGTACCGAAGCCCCCAGAGGCCCCCAAGACGCCACCAGATTTCAGAAGGCCTGGGTTGAATTTTGAGCATTTGGAGTGCTTAAAATTCACTATACAAAGACCCACCCCTTAAATAAGCCATAGAATTCTGTTGTGAAAAGTCGTCGAATAATTATAGTAGAGAGATTTTGAGTATTAGAGGTACTTGAATTAATTGAATTAATAGAATAACATCAATGATAATAAACACATTCCATTAAAACTATTTAGATGACAGTGCTCTTTACTCTAATGGATGATTTCCGTCATTGTATTTTATCAGGTGTTGTAATGATATTAAGTATGATTTTTGCTTGACATGTTTCGGTAGATTATTTAATGACACAGACATCTCTAATCTACTTATTGGCTTAGCAATATTAATGATAATAAAAAAAACTGTATTATTTCACAGGAAAACCAGATTGCCAGAGGCAAATCTTCCCTAGTATCCTTCTAAACAACACATACTAAACAAACTTCACATGAAGTGAATTGATAAAAAGAAGTATTGGCGCTTGAATGATATTAGTCGGTGTAGTACAAATTTCATTTTGATTAAAGGGATTGTAAAGAGGTTTTTAATTTTTTTATGTGTGTCTCGGACGCTGATAGCATCAATTTGCACCATTCCGAATTTCAATCAGTGGTTCCTGTAATTCTACTCAAACTAAGTATCTCATGACGTCGCTAATTGCAAACTATGCTCTACTCCATAAGGCTATTCACGATTAGGAGCGTCATAAAACGCAATTGGAATGGTGCAAATTGCTATGAGATATCTGCTTTATGACGATACACATAAAAAACTGGAAAACCTCTTTATAACCCCCTTTAGGCTTGTAATACCATATATTTATCGCTAGATTTATCAGAACCCGAAAATGTCTTGAAAATTAATTGGTTAGCTAGAAACAATATGTAGCTACCGAGCCCGTACGGTTGGAAATTTTACTTTTATATACCATTTACTAAAAAAATACCGCAATGAAATGGGAGCCTACAATGATGTTTTGTGCCATTCCCTCATATATCACGATGAGTTTTTTGTAATGGAAACTAACTAAAAATACTTCTTTTATTTATCATCACTCTGAAATACGAATGTTTTATATTAGGTTTAGGAGATGGTGGGATGTTTAAAAATAAAACTGACTATCCAACATTAACCAGGTTTTCCTACTGTCAATGTCGGATGAGGAAGGTGTTTGGAAGTGTGTTTAAACAGTTTAACTGGACTGATATTGTTGTAATCTACGACGTTAATGACGGTCATACTGATATCCTGGGAAACACTTTAAAAGAAGGTCTACAAAAGGGCGGTATATTTCCTTTCATGATACCATATTATGGGAAAGAAAATAATAACTTCAGTTCCATTTTACAAGAAGCATCAGTACATGCGAGAAGTAAGTATACTGATTAACTGTAAGACAAAAATACATACCCCAGTTTCGTTGCAATTTGTTTCTTATACTGGTACATCCTAAGGCTGAGTTCTTAAAATACACTCTAAAATCTTAGACACTAGACACTTAGACACTAGACACTTAGACACTAAAAAAGTCAGGTCCAGTAAAGCCAATCATGGGTTCGCTAATTATCGTCAAAATGACCAAAAAATATCAAACATGAATATATTCCCAATATATTTTTGTTTCAGTCATAGTACTAATAGTACCCGGGGAGTCGTTAAGACAATTTTTATTGGCAGCCTTTGGACTGGGTTATACCACTGGAGATTATGTCTTCTTTGATGTAGAGTTATTCTCCTTTCCGGGTCAATACTGGGGTAACCACGACTGGAGAAGAGGCGATGACAAAGATACCGAAGCTAAAACCGCCTTTGAATCATTATTAAGAGTCTCCTGGCAAGAACCATCAGGAATGGGGTGGATGAACTTTTCTTGTAATGTAAAAGACATCGCTCTAAGCAAATATAATTACAGTTTTGGTGATGAAAAGGTTTGTAAAATGCCATAAGGTTCCGTGTGGGAAATATTTGGTCCATTTTTAGAGCAGATTGTGTGAGCCACCATTGATCACGAGAATTGACATAAAATTGGACCCGGCAATTGTTCAAGCATTTTGTAAATTCTAACAATGTTGCGCACATGTTCAGCAACAATCGAAAGACATTTAATGACATAATAATACAACCATTGCATGCTGTTACGCTCATTGAATTTGTGTGAGAGTAGATGCATTTAAATGTATTTGAATATTTCAGGTGAATTTCTTTGTGGGGTCGTTCCACGATGCTGCAGTACGACTAGGATTAGCTATAAATGAAACATTAAGTACTGGTGGTAATCTATCAGATGGTTATACTATCACTAGACTGATGTGGACAAAAACACTGCCAGGTAAAACTTATAAATGGGTTGTTAAAATAAGTAACAACAAATCACAAAATGTATAGATCCCAACTATGTTAGAAGCGTTTGAGTCCAAGATTAATGTAACTTGTTCCCGAATCTAGTCAAAATCGCATAACAGTTTTCATCAGTTCAAAAAATCAAATAAATATAAATGGTTTAACATACATACATGGTTAACGTAATTGGGGAAAACTATGTCATGTTCCCACTGGAGGACGGGGTAATCCTGTAAAGTCTCATTGTCAAATTAAATTCATTGTTGATATATTGTAGGTGTAACTGGACCTGTTATTATTGATAATAATGGAGATCGAGATACAGATTTTGCCATTTTAGATATGGATCCAATTGATGGTAACTTCAAGGTTGGTATAACTATATAATGTGTATTCAAGTTCTGTTCAATATTTCTATTGTGTATTTAAGATCAATATATCAGTTCTTTACCGCGAATTTAGGCGCGAAAATAGGATGTACGCTTTTGGGATTATTGGTGTAGTAGCAAATAGAGGAAGCTAAGCACATAGTCTTTTCGCAACCTTCTTACAAAATAAATTTCACATTCACTTTGTTTTTTCTCTTGTTGCAAGTTAGTCCAACCTTCCAGAAAAAAACGATGTCACTGTACTACTGGAAGAACATATTGCTATTTTTATATGATTTCATGTTCGCTATTCAACCTGATAAAAACCAATAAATCCTAGTGATGGCTGGATAATATATTGTAGGTTGTGGCCAACTACTGGGGGGCGAATCCTGGATACAATGCTGTTGATCATCGTTCTTATCACTGGCCTGGTAGAGATACACCGCCACCAAATACTCCTCGCTGTGGATTTACTGGTACCAATCCAGTCTGTAAATCACCAGGTAGAATCTTTTATTTCTATGTATTTTCATGCAACTGATATGGTCAATAATATTCTGACCACAGGACAGGACCGTAACTAAAACATTTCGACAACTGACCGATTTCATTATTGCAACTAAGCACCACCATCCATTGCCCATTTGGATATATTATTTGCCCCTCCGAACAATCAAGTATGGCTTAGGTGCCAATCGTGACCTATGCAAAGTTCAGAAGAACCATAGGACTGACAAATACAAAATTAAATGCAACTGACATGATTATCCTTATTCTGGTCACAGAACAGTGACAATATGCCACCCATATCTAGCATTGGTTAACAGAAAGTCTTTTAGAACCAATAACTTAACAGAGCTAAATGAAACAAGAATTATAGCAATATCAAATGCTTTCTGTGCAAAATGAATATCCAAGATCAGTCACAAACACAAGTGTTGTTATTATGAAATATGAAAGTGGGCCCCATTTAAATTATCCTCTTCTTGAAAAATACAATAATCGACCTATAATACTACGAGGAGAGAAATAATGAGCCAAATTATCTCTTCTAGATTTTATAGAAATTAGTAGAATATCCCGCATCGCCATAAGAGCAGTTCGCTGACCCATCTGAATCTCTAATGATTTCCTTTTCAAGGACCCAAAGTTCTAATTTTTAACGATCTTTATAATGTCAGACCAGGAAACTCCTGTGATTTAAAGTAAAAAAGTTAAGATAGATTATGGTCATAACATATCGATCAATGATACACAAAGCACTGCTTGGTACCTTATCGATTAAGTGAATTTGATTTATCGATGATAATCTGATGAAAACGATAAAAAATACTTAAATTGTAGTAAATAAAATCAAACCAATAAAGGAGTTCTATCTGTTTATAATAGACCAATGTCGCAAACAAATAAAACAAATGGGCAAACGTTGGGCCAGCCAAATTTTCTGTCTTTAGAAAATCGCATAATTCCTTTAAATAAACCTCAACAAGAAATTTCACTTCTTAATTTATTCCGTACACAAGCTTATCTTGTCTCTGTAAATTGGGTTATCCGAAAGTTGGACGTCTTGTGATACAGTCTCTGACACCAAGACATGTTTCATGGCAGCTGTGTGTAGACGAGTTGGGACTACTGAGTCTACTGTAAACACGTGACGTCATACACGGATAATTATGGATACACATGGTTAAGAAGGCTCAAATTTCTGAGACCGAGGGTACTATTGACGCCCCGAACTTTAAGCTTATAAAATGCAGATGTCGCAATAGACCAGTATGACATTGTATTGCACGATGTCTAGCCAACGATGATATAAAAAACCTTATATCTATTTCCAAATTATATACTTTCTTTGATTCGTATGGCCCTGCAAACATTTCTTCATAAGAAACGTGACATATCATATACAAATCATGAAATTAACCATGTAATTCCCTCGAGAGTATACAACTATCACTCTATATTGATCGTTGTAATGAAGACCTCATCACTTTCTATCACTTTGTTTACTTGTGATCTAAGTTAATGTGGGAATCGCTGCACATTTTTTGATATGTCGATATGATTGATGCTCTCCATAAAGAATATATGAATTAATAACTGCAAAACGAAACACGAAATTCAAACAACATATTGTCGAAACAGTTTTTACACGAGAAGTATCAGATGTCTAGAAGAGTAATCATACCCTTCTTGGCACTATAACCGCTTAACAAAAAAAAACAAGCAGTACAAATATATTCAGTGTACTTCTGATTTCAACGACATTCATCGATTATTATCCTATATATTGGAAACCGTTTAATGAAAATTTTTAAAAAAGCATCAGAAATTATAAATTGTTATTAATTGGATTATTTTTTATACATCCTAACTAAGGGCCTATCGTAATACCCTCTCCTTCTTTGGTACCGTTGAAGCGTATTTTCCTTTGCTTAATAATCAAAGTCACACAATTTACAGGTTACATATAGTAATGGTTAGCGAGAAAGATGAAAGTAACGGTTTTATCATGATTGTGTAGTTACCTCTATACGAGATTGCATCAATGAGTATTCGTCATTAAACTGACATCCAAAGAATGTCTTTGACCATTTGTTTATCAATTTAACAACCTTTGATTTAACATTTGGATTTTGGCAGTAATAAAAAAAATTCACACATTTTTCACCCTTTCAATTAAACAAAATTGTTTTCATCGATTTTTTCATTTCATAGTGTCTCATATTGTGTTTATGAAGTAAATGTGATATTATATTATAAATTTTTCAGGAATAGTAGTGTACATATCTAAATGATAAAAAATTAGTTTGCAAACACATTACAAAATTGAAAGAATATAACAAAGTCTCCCATCCGTCACCTGAGAGTTATCATTTACAACACAGTACACCAATTATTACTATGATTATTACATTAATTACACTGGTATCTTTTTACTGTATGACATTTTACACATTTAACGTAACATCTATGATTATTGTCGTTTATGGGTATACAAGTATCAGATTTAAGCTGTAATAATAATAATCCTGTATTTCAGATACAAGTGAAAAGTTCATATGGACAATAATATCTGTGTTTGTGTTTATTATAACATGCTTAATTGTCGGTTTCTTTGTATACAGGTAACAATGAGTATTTTTATATATATTATATTTATAATGTGGTCGTATATTGTCGTCGCCCCTGTCCGTCCGCCCGTCCACAATTGGCTTGTCAGCAATAGAGACAACAGTTTTCATCCGATTTAAATGAAATTTGGTGTGATCATTTATAGTGATGAGATCTTGGACAAGTTCGAATTTTGTCATCTTCCGATGAACGGTTTTTGTGTTATATCCCTCGACCCCAAAAGTGACAACAATTTTCATCCGATTTAAATGAAATTTGGTGTGATCAATTATAATGATGAGATCTCAGACAGGTTCGAATGTGACGATTTTTCGAAGAAAGTTTTTGAGTTGTTGCCCTTGATTTATGAAAAATGCGTCAAAATTTGTTTGTGAACACAACAGATACTACAGTTTTCATCCGATTTAAATAAAATTTGGTATGATCATTTATAATGATTAGATCTAGTCAAGATTGAATTTCACGATTTTTCGATCAACGGAATTTGAGTTATTGCCCTTGACTTAGTACAAACGCATCAAAATTTGTTGGCTTGTTAACGCGATAGAGGTGACAGTTTATCTCAGAATTTTATTAGATAATGTGTTTGTTGAATATCACAAATTAGATTTTTGGTATGATTTGATGCAAATTGATATACTGAAAATGTATGAGGAAAGTGGGCGTATCTTGCTAGGCAACCACTTGTTTTACTTTTCCGGGACCTTTGACAGATAATTGATACGCAAAAACGGTTGAACCGATACCAATGTTATCTACAAGTATTGTCTCTACTTATTTCCAACAAACTTAAGAACTATCATAAAACGCAAACGATTTTGTCAATTGAATAGCAGAAAAAAATTGTCTTCTTGTAATCAACACGTTGCAAATGTCTCAGTTGTCGATATGCTGCTTTAACTACACGATAATCCATTTACTCTCCGTCTTCACAATAACAAGCTATTGCGATTTTCGTATCATTGTGAAGATGTTTGCTCACAGATTGTGTAGGTTTTAAGATCAACAACACGCTTTGTATTCCATACACTTGTATATTTTAGTACAATTTTGATAGTGAATGAATATTACATATTTTAGACGTTATAAATGGGAACAAGATTTAACCAACATGGCGTGGCGAGTTCAGTATGAGGATATCAGATTTAAATTATTAGATGGTGTCAGCAGTAGAACATCCATGGTATGAAGACAACTTACTATCTGGCAATACATTGGTTGCAGATAATGAACTTTTCATATGAGGCTATATCATGCCAGTCCATCATTTGTCATTTGATAATCTTATTGCAATGTCTGACAGTAACAACTAAAAATATCAGATTCTTCGTCGCCGGTTTGCTCTCACGTGGACCGTCAGATCATATATCAAGATTTGACGTGTCCTTTTATCACCTTTGATTTACTTGATGTCTCTGCTCCCATCCTTGACATTTTTCCTTGATTTTGTTAATGGTTTAGGAATTCAATATTGATTTAATTATTATACTCAAATAATCTGTCAAGACTGCTGTATTGATAAAAATTGTTAATGTAGTTCTAGTCCGAAACACCTGCCTATATATTAAAGTCTCTAATAGATATTTGGACAGTTATTGACCAGCTGACAACTTTCATAATAGCTATCAGAGGCTGGAATAGAGGCAGATCTAACGGCATAACGCAGAATTTGATGTGGAATACTTTCGTTTGATAACCTAATGTGTCAAAATGAAAACTAAAATAGGTAGCACCCGGATGTCTCTCGGTTACGGTTTGGATATCGTCACGTGTTCTTTGATCCACTTTTATTAATATCATGTGTGTGCTTTCTCTTAGACTTGAGTTAATGGTTTAGATTTTTAATTTAATAATGAATATAATATCAAGGTTGTGAAAATGGTTTGATATTTTTTTTAGATATTGAAAATAGAATTTGCATTAAATCAAGAATAAAATTAAACCCATCAATACCAAAATAATTGTGGATCAAAAACCACCTTATCCTCAAGTATAAGATCATTTATAGCAAACGATTGAATCCGTCAGATCTTAATTCATTTTCATTTTCAGGCGAGAATATCTGATACATTTTGTGCTGACGTTGTACACGAATCATCCGTAACTTTGGGAATTTATAAGGTATTTCTTTTTTATCGAATTTGTCATGTTATAGTTAACTGTATTTTAGTCCCAAAAGTATTGATCATTTGCAAATACGAACTCAGACTAGAATCATCAACGGCTCGTCTAGCTAATCGGAACAGATTATATCACTTTGCACGTACCATGACTTCAATTTCGATTGAATCATTTATGTTTTATTATTTATCTATTATTTAAAGAAACGTGCTAGTTCCAGTCAACAATAAATCCATCACTTAATACTCGCATCTCACCTCAGATTATAATAGCGTTAAGGGCTTAATCGTTTTTTATCCTCCAGGGAAGAACGGTGGCTGTTCAAAAAGTTGACAAAGAAAAGATTGTTTTGACACGCGATGTACTATTGGAGCTAAAACAGGTAAAATATATGTATCAATGGGATTCTATTGATGCGCTGTTATATATGATAACTAAGGTGATAAGTAACTTTCATCATATATAAGAGATAAGAGAAACCACCCCATAATACTTATTCTATATCTATAGAGATGGTAATCAATTTGTATGCTTGATCGTTGCCTGTGATGCATATTGCGTATACTAGGAAGACTCGAGCTCTAATAACTGAATATATTATATTAATAGTTTGAGTTCCCTATAACGTTAAATGCAAACATTATTGCCAATATCCAGTTTGTATGTCAAAAACTGGTTTTGCATTTGCGATTAAACTTAACCTTACCAGCGAAACTATCATTTCAAGTTACTATTTTGCCATGAAAGTTTTTTATATTGAATTTATTTATGAATCAACACATTGTCTGGTTTTACCATATTTTTTGTTGACGATGACATTTGGAAAGCTATCTTTGAAAGGTACCGCTATTTTCTTTTAGGTACGAGATCTTCATCATGAGAATTTAAGTAGTTTTATTGGGGCGTGTATCGAACCTGGTCATAATTATGTTTTAACAGAATATTGTAACAAAGGAAGTTTACAGGTAATGAAATTACACATAATACAATATGATAAGGTGGTTCGAATACGAATATTATACTTATCATATTTATCTATAAATGGTTTGAAACGCGATGTTCTGCACACATTAAACAATAATGAGAAGCTGACCCGCATACGCCTTGACGTTCTGTATTTTTATACGCCATCATTATAATGTGGTCGGATATTGTCGTCGTCCCTGTCCGCCCGTCAGTCCGTCTGTCCACAATTGGCTTGTGAACGCAATAGTGACAACAGCTTTTATATGATTTGAATGAGTTATTTTGTAAAGACGCATCAAAATTGGTTGGCTTGTTAACGCGATAGAGGTGACAGTTTATGTCAGAATTTTATTAAATAATGTGTGTTTGTTTAAATCAAAAATATCTTGCACAAATTAGATTTTTGGTATGATTTGACACAGATAAGTGACCGCCCTTGATATACTGAAAATGTATGAGGAAAGTGGGCGTAGCTTGCTTGGCAACCACTTGTTTTCTAAATTATTAAAAATGATTTGCTATGCAATGTCCTCCAGAGTGGCTGACTGCTGGAATTTAATAGATGTTTTCTAGTCTTGACATTTTTATCCGGGCACTCAAAGCGATTTCCTATATGAAAATTGTGGTCGGACTAGAGGTTGAAACCTCTTTTGAATACCTTTTTATCAATCTACCCTTTTATTGTCTTTAGCACTTTAGAGTGAATTTTTATCAATAAATATTGAATATTTCAATCAGACTAAAGGCACTTAAAGAAAAATATAACAACATAAATAGCCTCTATTATATTACTGTCCTTGAATACTGAATAAGGTGATTATAATTAATTAATAACCATGATTTATTGATGAGATAACTTGGCCTAATGTGGTGTATTAATTATATATTATTAACCTATTATTACAGATTTTATGAACCTGTAGTATTAACACTGGTGGTATATGTGCAATAATGTTATTTATTTACTTGTTTACTAACTAACTAATGTCACTAGTCACTTACCTTTGACTTATATTAAAACTTTTAATTTTATTGCAACTCATCTGTTTTGGACCATAAAATATGGTTTTATTATAGTATCTTTGAAGGACGCGTATCCCCTTGCATCATCTGCGATTGAAATGGCTGCATTTTTTAAAACTGTCACAAATTGAAATTAGTATAAGTTAAGCTATAATATATTTTACAGGATGTGTTGGGAAATGACACACTAAAACTAGACATGATGTTTAGACTGTCCATGTTACGAGATATTGCAATGGTATGTGGTTCTTCTTTTTAAATCGTTTGACTCATACAGCCCCTCTTTTCAATACTTACAAATCAATGTGAACTCTTACATGCACTGTTCTTATGTGACAATCTCGACAGACAACTATCATATCTCATGTACGTGTATGTGTACTTGTTAACCAAAACTTTCAAAGAGTCTCCAATGGCGTGAATCATATTGGCACTCTGTTTTGACAATACCTATGCACTCAATACTCTATTGTAAATATGCCAATACCCTATGCACTCGATACCCCATTGTAAATACTGGCTTGTTAGAATTCACAGTTCCAAAGGTCCACACGAAATCCCTTAATAGAGTCACTAGCTGATAATTTTTTTTTGTATTTTAGGGTATGGCATTTATTCATAAATCTGATCTCAAGATTCACGGATTTCTCAATTCTTCCAATTGTCTTGTGGATGGAAAATTTGTACTAAAGATCACGGAGTTTGGTTTACCGACATTTTTCCGAGATAAAAGATACAGCCAAAGTAAAGAAAATATGGAAAGTGAGTTTATTGTTTTGATTATTGATATATTGACAATTTAAAAACACCACAGCCTTGACAGAAAGGTAATTATTGGAAAAACCAATGAACCAATGAACACAGAATCTCGTTCGAAACATTCCTATTTGAATAAATGTTTTGATAATTATCGGTAAATGAATATACCATCAGAATAAATAATCAAAGTTATAAGGTATTTTCTGTATCAATTGCTTTACTCAATCTCTTAAACCACAATACAAGAGTTAAATAACGGAAAACAACGTTTCAAAATGAAATCCATCTGATGATGTAAATTGTTGAAATGTTGTGTACAATAAAAACTCAGGAGTAGAGTACCATTTAATTGTGTTCTGTTATTAAATACGATCTCTACCCCTTAATGTCGCTTTAAGAATATTAACAGAGTTGCGATAAACGAGATCTGGTATAAACAAATCTTCTTTTATCTCCTATCAGAAGTTAGTAGAAATCAGCAAGTTTTAGCTTGGAATAATTTTAACTTTTTAAGTTTAAAAAGAAGACTTATCAGAAATACAATAGAAAGAATAGAATGATACTTATAGTTCAAGAATCAATAGTCATCGACTTTGTTACATAAGTTAATCAATTTAGTTCCTTGGTGTCAAGCAGTAATGTCAATGAGTACACAGATTTTTTTAGTGCCTTGGGCCTTTGAAGACAACAATCAGTTCTATTGATGTAGATTTTTTTACTTAATGGTTAGAAATTCCACTAATACAATATTTTATTCCGTTTACAAAAAAAAGATAAAATCAACCATTTAATGTAAGTTGTTACTTACGGAAGACTTTTAAGCACATTTAAATTTTTCTTAATTTTTTTGATATGTTTTGCATATGTAAGCGTTGGCCCGCCGACATGAGCTTACTCGTATTGAAACTCTCGCATTATTCAATATTGCAGTAACAAACTATTTTTAGAAATCCGAAATTTCGACTTGTGGAATCTGAAATTTCGACCTGTGGAATCCCAAATTTCGACCTATGGAATCCGAAATTTCGACCTGTGGAATCCCAAATTTCGACCTATGGAATCCGAAATTTCGACCTGTGCAAAATAAAAAATTTTTTTAGGTGTGTTTAAAAGTGTTTCATAGTTATTGAAATGAAATTAAGATGTTAATTTTCTTTTGAAAAAATTAAATTTAATTATCTTTTAAGAAAACCGAACGGATCCATTAAAGTTGTTTTTGTAAAAACTATACATAATTCAAGATAAAGAAAGTCTTAATTTAAGTAAATATAATTTAGGGCAATGTAGTTTATTTTTAAAAACAAACGTTCCATTAAATTATTGTTGTAAAAGCAATATTACGTTTAAGGACTTTTATTTTCACTAAAAGGAAACTGACGCAGCACATTCTAAAAACTAAAAATCAATCGTTATCATTTTATGTCTGCATTATAAAGTCATAGAGTGAGTCGAAGACTTCTGAACTGAGCAAAAGCAAGAGCAAAATAGTTGCCAAAAATATCTGAATCATAACCAAGTATGAAATTTTGATCACATTAAGCAAACGATGGGCTAGTATGACTTTCTAAATTAGCTCTATATTCCTGGTACTATTCATTTAAATCAAGGTACAATACAGCTCAACCACTCCCGAGATGAAAAAACAATCATTGAATACATATGATAACTCAGTTGACTAACTTCAGCTATAATTAACAAGTCAATTTCATCAACTGCTAATGAATTCAAATTAAACATGGTTCTATTCACCTTATTGATTTATAACTTAAAAATGACAAAGAAAAAGATTTGCCGATCAACATTATTTCAATTTTCAATTACTTCAATTACTAAAACTAATTCAATAAATAATTTTATCGGCACACCAGTCGGGTACACATTTGATATTGATTGAGCTATGCAAGTACAAACATATATTGTTGTCTCGAAATGCCGGCACGCATTTTGGATATTAAAGGCTAACAACTGTTAGGCCTTTCGAAGGGGAGATTACTCTTATGTATACGTTTTCTTCTTTATTCGGCAGTGTTATTATGGGTAGCACCAGAAGTACTAAGACAGGCACCATTTATGCAATCAACACAGAAGAGTGATGTTTACAGCTTTGGTATCATTATGGAAGAAATGATACTACGTTCTATACCCTTTGATACTTATAGGGCATTACTTGATGTACAAGGTCAGTAAGCAATCTGAAACGAATTCTAAATCCAATTCATAATGCTATTGCAGTGCGTCATAGATTTAAAGATTTTTCTTGCTATACTGACCTAAGATATTACACGATGGATCTGACAACATTGTGGATGAGGATGTGTTCACATCAATAATAATAATCCTCCCAATCAATGAACTGCTTATAAGTTGTACATGTACTACCACTCACTCTGTTGTAAGCTGGGAATCTTCTTATCAGATCTTTGAGATTTGTCAACGACGACCTGAATATCCAGGACTAATTTTTCATTTTGGTATTATTTTTGACATTGATGATAAAAAAAAATTGATTTCACTCTCCAATAATTCCAGATATTGTCGATAAAGTAAAGGATGACTGTGCGCCATATTTTAGACCCAAAGTATCGGAAAGCCAAGCGCCTAAAGGGTATATAGAACTGATGAAGAAATGTTGGAGTGAAATACCCGATGAACGACCAACTTATGATGGTATTGCCAAGCAATTGAAAGAATTACAGGGGTGAGCTTGTGAACTTATATTAGATATGACGACTAATAAAATAGTACAATAGAGTGTTGGGATTACAATTGTCGGGTTCTCCTGCAATTCAAGAGAAAACGAACTGTGGCAGATTAGACTTGTCTCATTGATGTTACCCCAATTACACATATTACATACGAAAACAACCACAAGAGCAGATTATCTGCAAATGGTTGTGAAACGTCCAGCAACTGGATGGGCGAGCAAACCAAACGCACCAAATTGAACAGAAATGCAAGAGGGAATTTACTAGAGTATATAACCAATGATTGAAAAGAGGTTGTTGCTCACTACTACGTTCCCCATCTTATTTCAGAGATAAGAACATAAGTTTAGTGGAGGCTCTAGTCCTGCGTTTAGAAGAATATGCATCAAATCTGGAAAATCTAGTGGCTGAAAGAACGACACAGCTCATAGCCGAGAAAAAGAAATCAGAAACATTATTATATCAAATACTTCCAAAGTAAGTAAGAGAGATTGTTCCAACAAGATATAGTGCTTGTCATTAATTCAGAACTTTTGAATAGACCTTATTAAATAAAGCAGGAACATATAGTGCTTCCAATACGGGATTCAAAACCAGGAGGCAGAATCTTAGTATTAAAATCCATTTAAACCTTCACATTTAGGTTCATCGATATACTTGTCTTCATAGATTTTTGTACATCATCTAAGGCCAATATTCAAATCTTCAAACGAATTGATTTATTATTACCCTTTGCATTTGCAACCTTTTGCAATACCTAATGAAGCAACAAATGTTCCCAACAATGCGCATCTAAATACATAAAGGGGTATAATAAATCTTACTTTTCAGACCTGTAGCCGATCAGTTAAAGCAAGGCAAATCAGTAGTACCAGAAACCTACGACTGTGTAACTATATATTTTAGTGATATTGTTGGTTTTACTGCCCTGTCTTCAGAAAGCTCGCCAATGGAGGTAAGGACTTCAAATGTTTGTAACCAATAAGCAAACTCGAGGACTACAGTTTGGTGGAAGTATCCAATACTGAGTAAAAAGGTTCTCTGTTTTTAATACAATCAAAATGTTTTACCAACAGCTTCGTGAGAAACTCTCTGGTGTTCTGTGGAGGGGAAAAGGAGGGTAGTGTTATGTGACCATGCGACAACTAATGTCTTCACAATGGCAAATCTGTGATCAAATTGTAGTCTGCAGTCTGTATCATACATGTAAGATGATTTACAAAGGTTCTAGTACGGTGTATTTTGATATCTGTTTTTAGATTGTGAACTTCCTTAATGATTTGTACGTGATGTTTGATAGTGTTGTAGATTATTATGATGCATATAAAGTAAGTTACTGCTAAATTACCATACGTCAATCAAAATGCCGGATGGGTCCTCGGGAATTGCACTACAATGAACACAATCTTTAAAGCGTACTTAGTAACCTATACCGAAACCTAAACCAATAATCTAAAGAACCATTTTTGCAAATTACTAATTGCGAATTACTTCGATTAAGTCCCACTGAAGGTATAGATAAAGACTAATATCATCACGATAAGGAAAGGTATGCGTAAGGTGTTTGGAGCAGTAATCATGATCTACCTAAAGAAATGCATCGTCTGCTTCCATGCAATATCTTCAGGTAGAAACAATAGGAGATGCCTATATGGTTGTATCTGGTTTACCTATTAGAAATGGTGAACAACATGCTGTAGAGATATCTAGAATGTCGTTAGCCTTACTGGACGGTATTAAATCATTTACAATCAGACATCGCCCTCAGGATATGCTTAAACTAAGGATAGGCATCCACTCCGGTAGGTTTTTAAGATTATCTTAGGCGCACCATCCAAAATCTAAAATCTCAGTTAATTGGTTTTTATTTACATTCTCACGCAATTTTCTAATCAAATATTTTTCGGGGCAAGTCGTGTAAGAGTCATAGTCCGCTATAGTGGTCAGCATTCAAACTGTTAGGCAATTTTTAAATTCTGTTAGAATTGACAAGCTTCATCAGTTAACCTTTCAAACGTAGGGTGTTATGGAATATGGATATCATCAAAAATTTGTTGGTCATAAGTTCTAATCTCGTTGTCTATATAAATATAGTCGAAGCTATGCAAGCGTCATTGTATTGATGGAAATACCAGTGTAAATATAATTCTGTAAGACTAAATCTATACTGCTAAGGACATCCTCTTTGTCAAAACTGCTGGCTGGAAGCATAGGTTTGGTGAAATATTGTTTTTTTTTTGTATTTTCTTGAAGGTCCGTGTGCGTCTGGTGTAGTGGGATTAAAGATGCCGAGATATTGTCTATTTGGTGATACAGTAAACACTACCTCTAGGATGGAATCTACTGGTGAAGGTAAGTCATATCTGTACAATCAAGTAACCTAATTTCGTGGAAACCTATTATTCGTGGATTTCCGGAAAAGATTAATAATTTACATGAGCGATCTTGCGCGACCTCCGCATTAGTTTGTTTTGATAAACATGGGTTTTCTCTACAATATCAGCTAGTAGAATGAATCCAGTAGTTTCAAGCAAGGTAAAATGTAATAATGTATACTTTGACAAATACAAAATGGCGGATTTCAGTTATTACCAAACGTCACCATTTTTTATCGGCCGAATTTCCTTATACTCTCAAGCGGTGATCGGAATACCAAGTGTCGTCTGCTAGAATATATTCCAACGAATGAAGTCACGTGATCAACTAGCGAATTCCGTGTCAGCAGAAAATTTCTATGGAACACAAAGTGGACCATATTCTTATGTTGTTTCAGTGACTTTTAGCAATAAATCACGCTTATTTTGTCAGTCTCTATTTTTTTTTTAAATCGTGGTTCTTTGAAGGAATTGACACTAGTTATAATGAATTGATATTAAAGATAACTACTAAGAGAAGTCAATTATACCACCCGGTATCCATACAACGTGTTTTTCTAGACTTTTTTATAGATCAAACATTGTACACGAAAATGGGTGACGCATTCTGCCGCCATTGCCGAGTTGGTTACTCATGAAATATGAGTCAAAGTGAAGGATTCATAAAGAAAATCGAAATAAACCAATTTTAATTATTTTGTAGAATATCCGAGGAAACATCTAAGACATAAAATTTTTTGTTGTTGTTTTTTTAACTTTGACGAAATTCAATTTTGAATCCTTATATCCACGAAAATAGGTTACACCACTGTATTATTGACAATGAACTTGACTACCATTTAAATATGTAATCGCGTTGAAAATCTTTTTTTTTTTTGTTATTTTGGTAACGTGTAATGTAAATTGTTGGAACGTTAAGTACATACAATAAAGTAAATAGGGTTATTGTGGTGCATTATTTAAAGTTATCTTTACTACTCTCTACATGTCGCTCAAGAGTTAATTGACAAGCTCTAAATCACTGTTATATACTTTTAGTATACTAATGAATAAAGAAAAAAAGATTATAAAAACAATCAAAACTGCACTTGTTTTAATATGTTTCGTAATTTTAGCTCTAAAGATTCATATTAGTGAAAAAACTAAATCAATTCTAGATAGAATGGGCAATTTTATAACAGAATATAGAGGCAGCATAGCCATGAAGGTAAATTATATGTTTCCAATATTATACCAACACCGCGATGCCACTCTGCGCTTAGGTTTATCAACTGCTTGGCATCTTTCAAATCAGTTTATATCGTACGATTGTTATATAAGACTTGAAATGCTCGTCACGGAGAAAATGGCATGCAAATAGCATCTAGACGATCCCATTGAGATAACACCTGTGACTCTGTATGCACTTTGCCGTTATGTATGTATGTATATATACAAGAGAGTATATACAATCTCATATTTCTTTCATTCTATACATTTCAGGGAAAAGGTGAACAGACTACGTATTGGCTTGTTGGTGAAAAGTCCTTTTGAAAAAATTCGTATGGACTTATTAGTAATAGAAAGACAATGTGACAATCGCCTTGACGCTATATACTTGACTTGTTGACAGAATAATGAGATGAGCGGCCAATTTAATGCTTACACTTTTACTAAACAAGTTTAGGATACATTTGGAATGACATGTATAAACGTTCCAAATGTGATATCTCTTAAACCAAAATGTTACGGGATAGAAGTCTAGCAACTGATTTAACCAATGTGATAGACTTGAAAACGACATGCATCAAATGCAATTTTTGTGATACGACAGGCAGCAAGGGCCTTTAATGCGAACATCATGTTCCTTTAGCACGGGTAACATATTGTTTATAAACAATATATGCTACCGATGCTTAAGGAACATGTGCAAACATATGATCAAGGTATGGATTAACCGGAAAGAATGATTGTGTTTCGACATATGCAAAATGTATAGATCGAGATTATATCTCAGAAACAACAGACAGTGTCTTTGGGTTTCGTTATTCCACAATTAGTCATTGTTATCCGATCCAACATGACACCAATGAGTTAATAGACAAAACCAAACCAATACGCAGAACGCGATGGCGGTAGAAAATTGTTCGATTATAAAGGAGACGAAAAGTATCGGGGACAAAATGAAACGAATTGACCTTGCATTGAGGCAGTTCTGGTGGATCGGTCGGATGCGTGACGATGTACCGAGCCCAAGCGTGTAACAGGCCATAATGAACGTCGATCATGAAGGAATCAGAAAATTGGCACAGCTGCCCATGAAAAAAGCCCTCATTGAACACTGTATGTATCAACTTATCAACCCAAAGATTTAAAAATCGACAGAATAACTTGCCCTTAAAACGTTTATCATGTGAAAGATCTCGAATATTTATTAAATGTTAATCAAATTCGTAGCATTTTAACAATCAGGGAAGGGAAGGCCCCTTGCCCCCTGTATATAGCTACGGGCCTGATTACAATTGATTGCAATCTTGTAAATAAATTAGGCGTGGGAATCTTCACCATCCCCCCCAAACACACCCTTTATATCCGTTATTCTCATTTACCCTTGGCCTAAAACAAGAACAAGGTCATCGGTAATATCTGGATTGCCTTTGAAGTATCCTGCGAATCAATCCAAAGTTTACCGGATGTCATTGAATCATTGGCAAAGGTTTGATGAAATAACTGCCGTAGTCTTAGGCTATAGTAATGATTATAACAAAGATAGGTCTAATGATAATCTATTTCATTCAGTGTCAGTTTACTATTTGAAGCAGTTGAAGATACTGGTTGGTTGTGGAATCTGAAAGGACGTTCACCGTTAGATCTGTATGATTATCCGTGAAGGTACCAATTGTTATCTGTCACTGAATAGAGATGACATGGTTTGCCTATTATTAAATCAATGTCCGACTAAAACAAATAGACTAATAACAGACAATTGATTATTTCTAATTATTGGTTTTCATCTCGACCTAATTAACTCATCATCAGGTGAACAGCCTTCTATTGGCCAGTGGCTGAACCGGGGACTAAAGTGGAATGGGGTCGTTTCTCTGGGAAATTAAAAAAAATATTATGCTTTCCTGCATTGTGATTAATGCCCGTTATTGCTAGTTAATGCTATTTCACCCAATTATATATTGCTGGTTGCTTAGTTTGATAATTGTATACTTTGGTATACATCTAGGCCCCACTATATACACTAAGAAATTCTAGCCCTCCTCCCTAAAAAATTTCTAGTCTCTTGTTGAGTCACATAGTTGAGGCCCCCCTTGAAAAGTTTTTAGCCACCCCTGAAACCCTGGGCTAGCTATGGGCCTGGCTATGTCATCGTTGTTTAGAAACGATAATTAGAATACCCAGCACTCACACACCCACCACCTTATAATATCCTACTAAATCCCCAATAAACTAGTTTGAGCACAACTGGCTTGCACAGTGGTATAGTGAAAATATCATCCAGATCGTGGTGTCGACCTTGACAACTGACTGTGTCTCGGTACATGCGGGGGTCATAAAGAATTCACACATAATTTTTTATAATGAAGAAAAATGGGTGGTTTCACTATGAATAAATTTACATAATCTAAAAATTTAAGAATGTAATCTACATAATACTGAAATATGATTTGGGGGGTGGTGTAAACTGCCTTGACTCTATTTCAAATTTTCACTCTTCCAGAATTGGTTTCTTCTAGACTAAATAGAGCAAACATGCACAAACATTGATAAACACAGTGAAAATCACGATATTAAACACAGACTGCTTAAAATGCAATTTCAAAATATTAAAATTGAAACGGACCCGGGACCATGTTTGTCAAGTTGTCAACCTAACCAATAACACCATTAAAGTATTTCATGAACGGAACCTATGCCAAACAAGCCATGCTATTGATTTCAAAGAGGATCTTTAACGTGTGCGTATTTAATATTTAATATGAAATGATGAAATGGGTTGCCGGATTTGAATATTTCCCGAGCCTTGATTTCATAATTTTCATATTACATAAGCACGAGTGAAAGATTCTATTTATCACACAACCATCAATAAATTCCTTGCACTTTTTCTGTATATATGTCCTTTCTGCAAAATGTTCTTGCGCGTAACAAATAAGATCTTGATAAACACATTCATTTGATAACTAAATTGAAACTATTAATCAAAATTATGATTCTGGAACAATTTTATACCCTTTAGTTTCATTTTTAACAGAGTCGTCAACTTAAAATAAAGTCATGTTGCTCTGCATGAATGCATGCCCTAATTTGCATAGATGTGAACCTGTGCTACGAATTCAAATCGTTTTTATGCACCCGTGTTATCACCCCAAGAACAAAACTGTTGTGTGATATAGATAGTATACCTAATGGCTAGATAAGAATTAGTCCGATTCAATCTTGAGCTATACTTGAAATACGGCATACCCGTCCCACCGAAATTGCTATGTATATTTGCACCAATTTGTCATTATAATAATCTTGTAATGTTTTGACATTTATCTCGAATTATATGGTAAGTAGTCTGATAAATCATATTAACAAATGGGGTAACTACATGATTGAGGGTGGGGGATAATTGTTAGTCTACATACTTATCTTATCTCAACGCCCATCTCAACGTTTAGTCAACAGAGTGGTCCTCTTTAACAATGGAGTTAACAGTTTATACTTTACTTGTGATATTAGGTAAGGAATTTTCATAATTCTAGATTTATTGTGCGACTTTTATTATTCCGCCTATTCCACATCCAGGGGATTGTGAATAGATATTGTACATCAGAAGCTAGTTACCCCAGAAGATCTTGGGGAAAAGAATTTACGTACGTGTGGAAGTTTAGATGGCGAAATCAAACTCACCACAACACATTGTTCGACCGTTTTTTGTGTGAAACAGGATTTTGACTCATGCGTTAGATTACTGAAAATGAAGGTTCGGTTGCTTTGTTAATACTTCAATTCAAAACAAGTATATTCAAACCGCATCTTCACTACGTCAAGCTAATATGAACTTTGTCTTATACCTTGACTGCAATGGCTATTGTTGTTGTATCATATAGCGATATGATTGGATTGTACGCCAGTGAATACAGCCAATCAGAGACCTCGAAAGCAAGACTGTTAACATTATGGCTTATCATTTAAAGACTTTCTAGCGGGTGCTCTGTTTGTCTGTATTCGCTAACATATTTCCAATATAAATTAATTTACCTACCTCTGTGATACAAGAACAGTGGATTTTGCAGTCAAGGCATAATACAAATAGCTTGACCATTGTGAAGATGTTCATAGCGAAAGGCTGTATTGGAATGTCAAGCCTGTCTAATCACAGACTCTGAACTGTATACAGCACATTTGACGCTCACGACCGGCTCCGTACTCATTCCCAAATTGTGATGGTCTTGATAGATATGTGTGTATTTTTACTGGTATATTATGATTATATGATTCTGTTTAATTAACCATTTCGCTATAGCTCAGTGGGCGATACGTGCGTACTCGATTGCTGGGTAGTGACTTATCAACGGCTGAATCTCATGTTTGAAACAAATTGTCTTGATCATAAAATAGATGTTTTTGTACTTGATTTGAATGTATGAGACAAACAAACTATTACAAAGGAGTCTGCTAATACGTTCATCAATCGTAGATGTTATATCATTAAATGACAGAAGCCTACACTGAAATTTCTGGAAACAATGGATTTTCCCTTGAAAAACTGTCTCCCTCTGGTGAAACACAATTGACAATGAAAAAGTTCTTTATAACTTGCTTCGATTACCTATATCTACCGATAATTGGGTGTTTTGTTGCAGAATATACCTTGGGCGTAATTAAACAACGGCAACTTTTGCATTCAAGGGATTTTTCTCATTTATTTTATTAATAAATTATTTTCATGAAGATTGTACGCTTGTACTTTAATTATAATGATGAGCAACAGAAGGAAATCCATGCATTTTACATTTTGATCCAATATGGTCTATTTCCAACTTTTAAATAAAAAACATAATAAAGGGGCACATAGGGTGATTAAAACATTGAACATTATTGTGGTATGTATTTCTGAACTGTTTAGAACACCTGATGAGAATCAAATGACACTAATAATATGATGTACGTGATATCTTGGGCGGGCAGAGAAAAGTATCAAGAGAAAAATCACACTTCAAGGGGATGTGAGAGAATTTCTAAAATTGTATGTGTATCAGAGACATTATAGCATCAATTTGCACCATTTTCAATTAAAAGTCTGTGGTTCCTGCAATTCCACCAAATTAGTGGCATCGCAGGAACTACAGACAATCTAATAACATCTAGAAAAGCATTTTAGTTCAAAATGTCAACACGATTCGGAAAAAACCTTATACTATTGTGATGCAGATCAGAGAAGTGTATGGGCATTCAATCAACTCGTTCGGATGGGACAATAAACCGATTCCCTGTGTGCTATACAAGCTGTGTACATGAAAGGTCTCTTGATATTTGGAAATCGATATCTAATACAGCTGCTCTCATTGCACATTACATGGTGTTGTCAGTCTTCATTATCAATCAGGAGCAGTATAGTTTCATTCTGGATTTATTTTGTTCTTTTTTCAAGGGTTGTTGGTCCAGACGACAGCAGGTCATAAGAAATATGATTTTGATAAGGAATACAAGATGGAACAAGCTGCTCCAGAAGTAAATTATAAATGTATTGCTGTTGAAGCTAAATGTATCAATTCACAAAGTTTTATATTAGAGGCTATTACCAGCTATAATTTAGCTTATATTTCAAGATTTGAGGTCAATAAGGCATGTAGGTAAGTTAAGACTTCCCTGGGCCAAGCGGAAACTCTCTGTGAATATGCAAAATAGACCTTCACTTTGATATTGATCAATGGTGGTCTGAAGGGTTATTATTTATCATTGGCAACGAGAACATTGTGGAGACGTTCCTACAACGTATGAAATGCTTTTTGATTTCGGATACGTCGGTACAATGTGTAGACTGCGCCAGTTTACATGAACTTCGCTCAGATTCAGTACAGATCACCACACGTTTGTTTTATTGAGTTAAGCTATCTGACACGCCATTATGGTATGTCAGATTATATCAGCGTTGTTCATTTTATCAAAAAAGTTTCGCATCAGTTCCTTACAGAGCTCAACTTAACAAAATGAATCACTGTAGAGGCACTCAATAGTTTCGGACGTGTTTGTACGACAATGTACCGTGTTTTCCCCTATAGCCTAAAACCTTAAAAGGGAGTTAAGCAACCTTCTAGGTACAATCATCGTGCCCATCCCGTCACGTTGTACGTCAAAACCCGTATTCGGGATACGATAAGGTACATAATGTCTTGTCATTGATATTAACACTTTCAGGACTCTGCGAAAAGGAAGGATTTGTATCAAAGGAAGTGGATGTGAAGAAGAACTCCAGGGTAAAATGGATTTATTAAGCTGGGTCTGTAAGAATAAACGAGATTTATTTATGGGTAAGAGATGTTGGAGAAGTAATGCCTTTATGACAGAAGCTCCTGAATGTGATTTAAAAATACAGAAAGGCTGCCAGTAAGTGATGGATCCTTTCCACGGGAATTGGGAATTTTAGGTTGTAACATTGCAGTTAAGTAATGTTACGAAAGCACAGGCACAGGCTTAACCTCTAGTGAGAGAGTATTGTTTGAATAATATAATATAATTTCAATATATGAAATGAAAGTCCATATTCTTCAGAATCTGAAAATATAAGAATAATGGTTCCAACAGGAACATTATTATTATAATGAATATTTTTTTGAATTGGGGTTATCTCTTCTTATTTATAAATAATGAATTGTTTCTGTGAGGTTTCGGTGAGGGCTTCATTTGATTATGTGGTAAGGGTAGTTATCTGTCCTTACTATTCTAGAGATATCTTCGGCAAGAGATTTGAACAAAGATCATTCAGTAGATGGAACCTTAATAGTCATTATTTGTGTCAAATACGGCCGGCTGTTCATGTGTTCCCTGTTATTTTATTTCAGTTTTCATAAATTAGTTGGTACTTGTCTCAAAACAGTGATTGGTAAAAATAAATTTTGTAAACCGAAACAGATGCATTTTTATGGTGGAATGTTGGAAGCGATTGATAAACTCAGAAATCCTCATGGTCGATGTTGGTAAGTGTTTGTCTCGAAAACTTTTTTGAAGTAAATCTTGGGTGGACAAAAACAAGATCTACCTATCTTCATGTGTGGCCCGAGGGTAGCTGTTTTTAGGATTTGTCTAAGTTCAAAAAGTACTTTTGTCGATACAGCAATTCGTTATGGAAGTCAAAAGTTTGTAGAGTTTAAAATGTAGGATTGGTGGTTATTTAAAAGTGAATTTCAATTTCAGATAAAGTTATGCAGCGACAAAATAAAACAGTTTTAAACCCGAATAACAAATACATCAGTTTCTCCAGGTTTTCCGGTCACGTGTATATATTATATCAGATTTGTAGGAAAAACCCGTTAACCCGGAATCGATCTAATAGTATTATATTGAAAGCTGGTGTTTAAATAATTGTACATTTAAAAAACATTATTTAACTATTTGATACTTTTCTCTTTGTATCTTCAAATCCATGTAAAGAATGTTCAGAAATTATCGGCATTTGGATATTAAAATGACGATGACTGTCATATATAGACATATATATAAATGGAAAGTGAAATTCCTAGTTTGAGATATTTTTTGAAGGAACAATGCGATTTTCGTACATTTCCAGTTCTTCTGAAGACCTATTACATATATTCAAAACCCAAAAATGGTTAAACTGTTCCTTTATAACAACCAGAAGGAATTCCAGTCTTTCCCAATTCCAGAAAACCTGTGTAAAAGTCAGAACGGGTGAACCATTTGATACTAATACATGTAGTATCGTTACACGTAGTCTCAGTTACATACACCTATATTAAGTACACGTACTGATTGTCTAGCAACGCCTAAAAGTTATACAATAATGAACTTAGAAAAAAATATACAAATGGAAGAATGTACAATATATTTGTATAATAAGAATATACAATAGAAAAATCACATATATAAAGGATAATTACGATATTATCCGCTATGAAGCATCGATGATCTACATATTAATATTTTACTTGAAGATGAAATATGAACTTTTGATTTAAACCTTTTTCACATTGATAAATTTGACGAACACTTCTCCCTTTGGTGACAAGAAAACCATAAGAAAGGAAAGAGGTTTGATTAACAAAATTAAATATAAGTACACAATATAGACCTAATATGTTCACTGAAGCCCGACAAAAAGCTGCACTATAGTTTATTGTATAGTGCATTGTCATCTTTTTTACGTTGGCGTTGGGTCACTTAATCCACAAACACTTTTAATGGCCTACAGTCCATGAAAGATATTTATCTAAATTTTCAAAGAATACTAAATATACATATATACTCGCGTAATTATACAGTAACTAAATCAGACCTTGCATTATAAACGCTCGCACATTACATTCGCAATTATACAGTATCTAATCCGACCTCTTTTCAATCTAAATACTGTATAATTGTCAATAGTGTGCGCCCCTCTTTTAACTCTCGATAATTTAATAATTATACTGTTTCTAGATTTAAAAGAGGGGCCAGAATCAGGATTTAAAAAGGATGTGCATAATATTGACAATTATACATAAGGCGCTCGTATAGTATATTATGCGGTATCAAGAGGTATACGGCGTGCGCATTCTACTCGCAAATATACTGTATCAGAAGTGTTAATAGGTAGGCATTATACTCACAATTATAAAATATCTGGATAATTCATTAGTATATAACTTGGTACTTATATTCGACATTGACCCAGTTTTCAATGACTGTACTCACTAATTATCATAATATTATAATAACAATCACATTAACATAAACAGCTGTAGTGTAATATATTGTATTCTTTATCATAAATCAAGACTTATTCAAATAACCCAAAATTCTACTTCTAAATGAGACAATAAGAAATAATGCTGCAAAAGACTGTAAATTCTAAGAATTGATATTTATTTTCTGCATTTGATGGAATTTATTTAGATTGTAACTGCAGAACACAGTGAATACAGAATACACTGTACAACTCACTTATCATTTCATACTGTTGGGATATCTTTGGAATGGAACGGCCTTAGCACACATGAGCTTAGTCCATTATCCTATTCAGTGAGAAAGTCAGAAAGTGATCCCTTATGATTGGTGCCTAATGTAAACAGGAAGACACTCTGCTAGTCTAATCAAATAATGAAAGATTATGTACAATAATATTAGGATTCATAAAAATTCTAAAGCAAAATATACAAAAAATAATAAATCGTAAGTAACGGGCATTGGGATAAAAAGAAAAAAGTTTACTAAAGATATCTACAGACATCCTGGAGCATTCCAGACACACATGAACAGGCTACTTTTTTTAAGGCAGTTTAAATATAAGACCAAGTAATAATAAAGTTAAAGAGAATGTTTTCATACGTGTATAGGGGACACTGATTTGATGGTATCAATTTTTACAGTTCCAGTGTTCCATCAGAGGTCTGTGGTTCCTGCAATTGCAATGACGTCACTTCACTTATCGTCAAATATTCTTCATCACATTTTAAACACTTTAGTTTTAGTGGAATTGCAGGAACCACAGGCTTCTGTTTGGTTCAAATTGAAGCTATCAGTGTCCCTGATACACATAAAAACTTTAGAAAACCTCTTCACAACCCCTTTAATGAACACAAATCATGTCAGAAATGACAAGTTTGAGCATATACTGTAATTCATACCTCAAAACCTAATATGATTCTTTCTGAAATGTCCACAGATGTGTATAAATATCAATAACAAACTACATAAACAAACATAAACAACATAAACAGAACATATAATATACTTTAGAGAAGGATAATCAAACAACCAGTATATAACTTGTGACCAATCCATAGAGAATTTTAGTATAGCTCTTTATATCATAGAATAGCTTCAAATACCATTTATTCTACCTCTAGAATAGTTTCAAACATCTGCCTTTGAAAAACAGGCCTACAGCTGAAAATTTCAAAGTAACTATCAGAGGAATAGAGGCAGATGTTTTGATCTACCACTAGAAAATAATATTCTACTCTTGTCTGTTTGAAATGTTCATGGATATGCTTAAATAACTCTATCAGTTTAAACAACAAATATAACAAGCACTTATCAATCAACACAACCTTTCAAAGTAAAGAGAATTTTTTCACTGATACATAGACATAATATATTCAAAATATTATTAAAAGAAAATACTTTTGATAATTTTGATTGTCATTCTCCATATATGGTGTGAAGAGGATGATCTATAAACAACAATTAAAACACATGCTTTGATTAAATTAACAGTCATACCTAATTCTACAGTTTCATTTAATAAGAAGCATTTTTTCGACTTCCCTTAACAAATGAATCATTTCATCTTTTTAAGTTTCATATTTCAGTAGGATCAAACTATACAGGCTGTATAAACTATATAAACAACCTTGGTTAGGTATTGTGATTAAAATGTAAAAATATCTTCCAATGAGGCAAATTTGGTGGATTCTCAATGATTTGATTAACAAAAGGTGGATTTCATAAACAATTTTTAACAATATATCTTTTATGATATGAAAGTTTATTTGCCTATAATGTGCAACCCAAGTCTTTTTTAGGGTAAAAAGTGTGTTAAATACACACAAATATACAGTATCAGTACCAATATTAAATATCAAATAAATTAGTCAGCGTTTAGGCTCTTATTATGATTATATATTTTTATTAAACAAATGGAGAATGCTATTATTCTATGGTAAGTTTATTTTCGGTCCATAGAGCCCCTAGCCTTAGTATAAAAATTCTAGATTATCAAACCTGTGACTCTGCAGTAGCCAAAGTTGTTCTGAACCAAACTTTGTCGAGGATGTCTTGAGATTAATTTCAATACAGCAAGCTACCAACAATCATAAAATACACATCAAATAAAAACAATTTGTCAAACACCGAATAATTAAATAATTGGGGACATACACAATAAGTTGGGACTGCTTAAATTTCAAATAAACTCAAATGAATAAAATGGAAAAAAATTCTTTTACATGTAGTACCGAAACAAAGCACCATTTTAGGTAATGAAGTCACACAAGTATGAAGAAATGAATTTTGATTGAAAGTTGTATACAGATATCTAAAAAATAGGATCATTATTTAAATATTTTGACCAGCAGCAAAATATGGAAGCAATCATTAATTTTGATGTGAAATGTCAAGGTGTCAATTTGATCTGAAATTTAGTTTGCTGGACACAGTTAAATACATCTACTAATATACCAGCATGCGAGTGGCGTTTCTGCACGAGGGGCCAGGGGCCATGGGCTCCTCAGAAATTTGGCTGGCACTGCGTTGGCCCACAATTTCAAGTTTCGTCCTATTTGCTCCCCTTGATGATTATGTGACCCCATCTTGGCCCCTCCACTTAATTCTTTAGAGAAACACCACTGTTGCATGCTTTCAATTAGTAAAATATACAATGTAGATAGTTTGTGTATGTTAAAAGAAAAGGAAGAGAATGAAAACACTCAGTAATACTTTCTATACAGTAATACACAGCTGTTTCAAAAAGTTGAACTAACATTCAGTTATTCCAAACACCATATGACTAAAGTTTTGTTAACTGAACAAAATATATATTTATAGAGTTAACACCATTCATTTCTATTACAAAAAGCAATGCTTTGGAGATTGGAATTACTTTTGAAAGAAAAGAGTATAGCTTACACCTGAATGACGTTTCTTTTGCTTTTCAATATAGTTTTTATATTTCAATCAGATTGATACTGCAATACAAACAGCATAGCGCAATTTAATGCTGATATATATATATATATAAAAATGAAGATGGTTTCACTCTGTAATTATCTTAGTACCAATATGGCACTAAAGTTGAAAAAATATATTTGTGCAGTCTGAGTCTGATACTAAAAATAAACATGAGTCATATCCACAATTTTTAGCTAGCCAAAGCTCTTTTTAAACCAAGTATTTGATTGGCAGAATTATATTTCAAAATTGAACTCATCATCGTTGAGGTTGTCTTCAGATTCCAATACAGTGAGCTAACATCATTCAAAAAGATATAAATCATAGCTTTATGTAGAAATAAATTCAATGTAAATATGAATATGGATTCCTATTCATTCTTCCCTACAATAAAATGGAGGGCTCATGTTTATCTTTAGAATTAACTCTGGATGCACACAAATATCTTTTAATCGCCTACAGCATTACAGTAGTGAAACCTCTTCTCTTCAAAAACTTTTCATTGAAAAGGAGATCGTTTTATGATTTTTCCCAAAATATATAACTGATTTTCAATTTAGTATAAAACTTGCTCTTGACCATAAACTTTTATACATCCCTCCACCATTCCCATGGCAATACTAGCAGCATCGTTGATTTTAACTACAATATCATTCTCGTTTAAACCATGTATAAAAATATCATCACTATCAAATCCAGCCATCTTTACTCTTTTCATAACCTGGAAATATACGGAGGATATCTTAATATGGTCCCAAAATATTGTTCATTGTATTTCCTTTTAATTGATTTTTTATTGGGTTTTATAATTAAAACTGCATGGAATCAATGTACAGTTCTAATTAGTTTATTTTGAACCAATCAATGCGTGTCATGTAGGACCTGTTTCAAGCTCGAAAATAATGAATTCTAAGACAGTGAACTTTAAGAGGCTATCATATGCTCTACTCTGGTCTTGCTATGCTACAGTTCGTCCTTATAAGAAATTTTGAAACTTCTATCAGACAAGACTGGTAAATACAGTGAATCAACAACCCTCTTACTTACCTCTTGTCCAAGATGACATATAGATGATAGCTGTACACCCTGACTGTTATGACAGCGTAAACAGTTCAATGTTTTAAAGACAATGTTTGGAAATTGGCAGTGATTAAAATAACCAGTTAAATTTTTTGTTACTCCACCAACAAAGGCTTCATCTCCATTAAAATGAATTAAATGTCCTGAAACCAAATAATAAAGTTGTTATAATTCAAAATATTTTTTTCATGATACTTATGAAAAGAGGAGACCCAATTCACACAATGCAATTTCTCAACTAAGGAATCTTGCAATTGTTGCCTTTGGCTTGTCCATCTGCAATGCATAAATCACAAAAAGAATCCCTGACCCTTGAAATGTAAGAAAAAAGGAGCACTGTAAAGACTGAGAATGTTGTTGTGAGTAGAGAATTGTGTTGACACTTGAAAAATCAATATCAATCACTATTGTTGGATTGTAACAGTCTAATAACAATTAGATCAAACTTTCATTCCATTTTTTTATTAGTTTTTATTTTTAATATAGCCTAGTTAGGGTCTAATGACAGTCCTCAAATTAACCTTTTGACCTAACCTAATAAACATTGGGTCACAAAATGCTAGCATTGGAGAAGACAGAAGTTGCCAAATGCTATCAATTGTCTTACCTTTATAACCAATATGGTCTGTAGGATCTTTTATCATTTTAGTTAACCACCATAAAAATACATATTCAAACTGTAATTTTGATTGACGTGAAAATTTGACAATATTTTGCGTCATTGTTTTTAATGATTTCATTTTGATTGTTTCTTGTTTCATTACATGAGGAACTGGTGCCGAGAAGATTCCTGAAAATAGTGGGAAATATATGCTGGAACATCTTGTACCACTGTAAATAAGTCAACTGGCCCCATTTTCGGTTTTATTTTGAAATAAATTTTAGTGATTGACTTTCATATCAGATGACAGGAGCACTAAATCAAATTATAGTTTTTGAAAAATATACTTCGCATTCAGGGAGTAAACTACTAACTCTGGTAGTGGACTGCTCCATAGTCCATGTACAACAACACTATTATAAACACTGATGAACAAAACTGTCCAGAAGAAATATTTCCTTGTAGCCCTGTATGTGTAGATATAATTTCATTATGACAATCAGCAGTAATAATGTCATTATTATCATTATTAGATGCATTGCCATCATACAAGCAAATCACAATCTTTCTCTGAATCCTTCTTCTTTCAAACAAGATTTCATAAAAATATTCAAAAATCCTACCTATCAACCCTCCATCTCTAGTTAATACTGTAGCAAAGGATTCTTTCCAGGAGTTATTTTTCTGGTATTTTTGGACAGTTATTGCTGGTATTTTACCAGGTGTTGATGGTGGGGTGTGGTATAACTGAAAGAGATTGTTGAATTGTTCACCCTAATTGTATCATCATGATCTGATATAAACTATAGCTAACTATAACTAATGATCAAGGACATGTGAGCTGATTAATAAACACTATTGCCGTTTTATTGATTAGATATATAATTAAATTAAATTCAAATCCAAATCAGATATTTTCTAAAAACAGTTATTGGAAACAATTGGCAATTTTGTTTGACAACTTACAATGCACTCATCCACAAAGCTTTATCAATACTAATTCTATTTATTTAATGCAAATTAGCAACATCTCATCTCATTTTGTCTGCATATGTTTCAGATAAAAACCCTTATCATAAAGACCTCTTGTTATTTAATATCTGAACTCCAGTGATACAAACAAAGTTAGCAAACCCCTTTAGCAGAAGAATGATAAGACCTACCCCTAACAGCCTATCTGTATGATAAACTATGGACTGTGCTACATGGTACTGACTCTCTCCTTCTTCTGCTGTAAATATAGCTTTACTGACTAATTCATTACCCCCTTCTCCCTTCAATGATACTAAAAACTTTCCACCACGAGCTATATTTCCTTTAGCCATGATTAAATTAGAGAAACTTCCAGCTTTCTGTCTTTCTACTGATCTCTGCCATTCAACTTCTCTCATTCCTTAAATGAAATGAAATGGAATTTTAGCTTTTGACTTATGTGATAGACTGGTGTTATTTCAGGTCCTTCTATTGGGTAACATTTAGGCTTGGTTGATACAATCAAACAAAGGTTTAAAACCTCTGGACCTTCAGAAGTACAGAAAAAAACAGCCAACAACTTTCAAAATAGCTATGAGAGGCTGGAATAGAGGGAGAGGTTTCAGACTACTTAGCACAAAAATAATCAAGGCAAAGAAGTACTGCTAAATAACCTATTGGGAGAATAAAACAAATGAATCGTGCTTCAAATCTCTGTCATTCTGTACTCTCTGAGGCTAAAACATATGAGACGCATTTCACAAATTGGTACTTACCCTTCAAACCAAAATGAGCCATCAATCTCTTTTCTCGACTCTTTCTTGGTTCTTCATGACCTTTAAATATTTTTCTTAAACATAGATTAATAGAATGTTTAGATGTTGTATGATTACTACTAGGTGGAACCACTTTGACTTCTCCAACATTTCTTATAACACCATATGTATCTTTATTATTCTGACCCATCTGAACTACATTGGGATCTTTCTGTGAGATCAAGGCTGACCCTGAACGTTTCCTACGAATGAATAAAGTAGTTCCTGGATTAGGTTGACCTTGAGCATTTCCAGAATTCTTCAATACTACTGTCATCAAAGCTGAAATAATGAATAGTAATCTATAATTATCATTTCAAAATATTTTTCAGAAATTTTTGGTGAAATAAAGTGTTTGATATTTGCCTGTTTTAAAGAAAGACATAATAAATATTGATTATTATAATTACTAGATGGTACACCAGGGCTGTTGATTTGACTCTATTTTCCAGACATGACCAGCAGAGCAGCTCAAATGTCCCAAGAATCAATATTGCTGTCAGACATAAAGTATAAGTTAGCTATTACATGTCATTTGATGAAACTCACTAAGATAGAAAGCCATCAATGTGGGAAAACACAGATATACTCCTAGAAATTCTGGGAATAATCCTTAATATTAACTCTTTAATTGATCTTAATATTGCATGACTTATAGCATCATATGTTAGAATAAGCATAGTTCAATTCATAGATTCATATTCATATGGTTCAATTTATAGAATGCATGTTAATGTAATACTTACTGTCTAATTCTGGTTGAGTAGAAAAAATAACAAAAGCTTTACAAGAGGTGTCTTCATTACATCTTTTCTTGGCTTCCCGTAAACTTCTACAAGTGATAACACATCCCCAGGCTACCCGGGAGTTATCACATTTATAATCAAACATACCCGGGAAATTAGACTGATCAATTCTAGCATAATCTGTATAGGTTGATTCCACCTGAATAATGAAAGTGTAATATAGAGCAGTGCTCTTGTTTGCTAACCTTGAGTTAAGGTATTAGAAGTTTGAATGTTAAAATGCTAACTTACAGAATTACTGGCTATAGCTACAGATTTTTTTGCACCTTGAAAACAACTTGCTACCCACCAAGCTATTCCACTACCAGTGCCACACAAAAGACAGTGTTCCAAACTAACGTTAGATGTTTAGGGCTTGAAATTTCCTACTCTCCAGGGTCTGTGCCACAAACTCAAGGAAGAAACAAGAAAAAAGTTGAACAAAAGTAATATTGAATTGGAAACAACTGGTTTCTATGGAGTAGCAAGATGTTACAGGCAAAAAAAATTCAGTTCTTACCACTCCATTATTATTTTGATTATTAGGTTGTTGATATTCCAGGTTATTTCTGATATCTTGTTTATCTTTCCTCTTATCTTCATCACTGTTATTTTTATCTTGATCTTGATTGTTATCTTGTTGATTAGGTACCTCGTTATTCTGTCTGTTATTGTTATCATGATAATTGTTGTTACTGTTTCGATTAATCACAGCTGTAATGATAGAGAATAGTACAAAAAATAAAGTAGCAGAAAGTGATATCTCTACTGTTCAAACAACCATCAGTGTATTAAAGGATTCTATAGAGGTCTAATAGTCTTTGTAGTTTGTATGCATATTAAGTACACTTAGGAGAGGTATGTTTGGTTGTAAGTTTAAAGTTTAATATTTTAATTATATCTATATGGGATTGTTACTTTATTATCTAAGATGACCTTGACATTAAAATTATAAACAATAGGAAATAGATGAGACAGTCTGATATCATCTTTATTAATCTTTCAATCTCTGTGGTTTAAAATTAGTTGTATATAACTAGTAAAAGTTAATTTCATTTACTAGATTAAATTAATGATAATAACTTACCTTCATCAAGAAGTTTCTGTAGTTCAGTTTTTAATTTTTGTTTGGTTATCTTAAGTGACCGTAGTTTATCTAAAACATCATTTAGAGACTGGCGCGAGTAAGGAGGTCCATTACGTAATAAAGGATCTAACACCACTATAGATAGTTTCTGTAGATTACTGAGAGCGTTAAGACCATTACATGCACCATTAGAACACTCAATACCTAGAATGATAGAACACATAATGATCTTGTAGACATTATAGACCACATAATCACTTTGTAATCATTATAAACACAGTCATAATGATTAGTAGAATGGAAATAAAATTGAGTTTACGTCCTGCCATTCTGAGTACCTAATAGACCTTATTTAGGCGTCAATCCAGAACGAGGGTCATAATGCAAATAAACAACGGTAACTGCGTGGCACTGCAGTAAAATCTCTAAAGCCTTTTTCACCATACCAAGTAACTCAAAACTAATAATATTTTGCATCATTAAATTTGGAATCGATTAAGCGTGAATAAGGTCTTTAGTGCTTAAGAGGACAGGCAACATAAAGCAGTGTACAAATTGAGAAATTTTGCCAGGACAGTAACATAAGCCTGCTCTTTTATAAATTACCACTGTCAAGGGTTATTTACTGTGCACAGTCTGTAACACACAGGGTCATCATTTAAATGAATAACAGTCTCTCTCTCACTAAGCCACCACAGCTCCCTCAAAGGACCAAAGCATGAGCATTTTAGGAAAAATATAAAATAAATTTTAGAGAATCTTACCATAATCAATACCACCAATATCACATTCACTCGAACTGCTACAAGATCTTTCTGTTAGTTTAAAATCATTGACATCAACTAGTCGTAGAGATTCATCATTATATAATAATATAAAATCATGGGTGGTAATTTTTCCTAGTCCAATACTTCCTAGTGGGTTATTCTCTAGGTAGTCTAATAAATCTAACATCTCTAGACCAAGCTGAAAATAATAATCAAACTTCGGTAAACTGTTTCGTCTTATAGACTTTGATATTACTGGTAAATATTACTACAAAATCTAAGTGGATTCCCATTCTACAGCATTTGCTAGTCTAGCTCATCTGAGTTAAGTTTTTAATCCAAATATTGGAAATATTAACTCTTACTCGTAACATTGTCAACAGAATAGGATGAGTTCTTGTTCATTACAAAGTAAGAGTCATTATTAATTGCCAACTCACAACAGTTTCCATAAAGCTGAAAGAACTACTCAGGCAGATACCTTAATTGTGAACTATACTTTAAATCTATAATGCTTATTCTACAAGCAACTTAACTTACCGTCAATCTCTTTTTCCAAGTGATCAAAGAAAAAGCACCAACTCTAACAGGTGTTCCAATATCAGTGATATATACCACACCTTTTTTACGTAATTCTGAAGAAATACCATCCCCTCGTATACAATATCCCCGTAATTCTATAATATTGGCATGTTTTAATACTGCTAATAGTAATAATTGCTGTAAAAGTTTATAGTTGCCCATTGGAGTACAATGTTCATCATCATAAATCTTCTTCATACAGGCTATTTTTGTATCAATGTCCACATTTTGACTGATCACAGCGTATTCATTCCGTTGATTGTCCTCACTCATTCCACGATCTATATATTTCCTGTTGGACTGAGCTAATGATATACTCAATCGTAAAGTATCTATATCTTTACAAGTCATTTTACTCTCTATATCAAGATCTAACAATAAATGCTTTAGCTCTATGGCAAGTTCATCTGGTTGAGGTGCTAATGACCAATCAGATGGGTTTAAATTATTTAAGAATGATATCACATCTTTGATGCTAACTGCATCATAATTTCCACGAAGTTCGACAATCTTTGAAGTCAGGTCTCTCTGAAACACAGCTGGTGCTAGTAAACTTGGATCCAAAATTCCATTATGTTTGTTTGCCTGATATTTTGATTTCCGTCTCTCGAATGCAGGATACACATTCCTGGAGCTCTGATTGTTGGTTGAGAGTAATTCCTTGTACAAATGATACGATACCAATAATCCCACTACGCCGAGTAATAGGAACATTATCATAAAACTGGTCTTGCAACGCATCCCTAGCCATCTTCTTCTTAATCCCATGATGAAGTTTATCAAGCTGTTTCAGATCTATTATCTATTTATCTATAAGACCATTCCTTTAGTTATCAACCTGGAATTATCAAAGAAGCATAGAGAGATCAAATACCTGGTAAGTAATTGTGACAGACATGAATGACAATTGCCACTGCATGTTCTTGCCATTCTAGGATCCATTGACACCTTGAATGGCTTTGTCCCACTGGGCCCCCAATCACCCCCTGCATGTGGCTTAAAGTAAAGGTTTGTGGGATTTCAGCTGCACTGAGAACTAGTTGCAAGTTCAGCAAACAATCATGTCTTAAGGACTAGGTCAATTGGTTGGCTTGGCCATTAACCCCCCTGATGACCCTTACAAACTCTCCCAACTTTTGGTGCTCCAGTAGATGTCTAATAAAGAAGGGTCTGCTACTTTGACAAGTTTGCCAATATGACATCGAGTGTTCATTCACGAAAATCTAATTTAACATTTTTAAAATTTACATTTGCGATTTCCTCTGTTGTGTACATCAAGCATATCAGAATGACTTTTATTGATTGGTTGGTTTCCTTTGATCAAAGGGAAATACTAAACAATCTTTTATTTGTGTCTAGTGATGGGGAAACCGGAAATTCTTTGGAAATATAATTCATTCGTAGTTATTCGTTTAAATCAAAAGCCTTTTTTTGCTGCTGCGATCTTTATTTTGATATGGATCTGGATATATTTTTCCAATTACATATGGGGCTAAGTTCAAACGTATACTAATGAATAATTTCTATGTCGAACGCACAAATTCTAGGAGGAAAATTGTCAAAATAACTTCGCATGCCCGAATGTTTGATAGAGGGCGCTTTACCGGAAGTAGGGAAATCTTTCATTCCAGGGAATACCAAAGCGTGAAAAATGAATGCCCCTCCAACATTCGAAGCATTTTTACTTTTTGAAGGAGAAAAGAAGTAGGAATACCATTTAACTTCCCCTTAATAAAAAACGCTAACTTTTTCGTATTGACATATTTTCCCTCAAGGAATTTGTCAGAGAATGTTTGCCACAAATTTCTGCAGGAACACAAATTACAAAACTCACAATGAATGTTTGCACTATGGCAGTGGCAGCATAGAACTGTAATAGATGGTGGCAGTGGATTTTTACCACAGCAGCTCAATGACATAATATTCTAAACACATTCCAGTCACCCATGTCATTAAATCTACCATCAACACCCCCTTTTGTATGGATGGAACTGTTTCCTTTTCCTTAAACCATAAATTTAGCCTTGTGTTGTACTTGTACTACAAACTTATGGTCAATTTTTTGTATGTCTGATGCTTGTCATTCTTCAGTCTTATGATCATATTTCATTTCAGAATTACTATAGAAAAGGACACTAAAGTCCCAAATGCTGCACTGTTCACAGTGAATAAAGAAGATCATACACTTGGAAACATGATCACCACGTTAGTATAAGTTAGATTTTCGGCCAGGCACAATACTTTTCGTAACCCTCAAGGGCAGTTGATTTAGTTGTGAAAGGTAGAAGTCACCATCAAGCAGACTTTCAGAAGCATTGGTAGTGGCATCAGAATTTTTTGTATCTTGAAGAGGATTTAAAATCACGGACCTAACTGCCTAGCAACAATCCAAGTTGCTACTGACTGGAAAAATGTTGTTGTGTGAAGGTTTGATTTCTAGTTTAAACCAGTTGAGCACAATATTATCTGATTCCTGGAAATATTAGATAAACAGAAAATGTCTGCCTTTTTAGGGATAGGGGATATTTTAAGAATAATTTCAATGTGCATGCAAATATTCATTATTATAGGGCTATATATTTTATATTTTAGACAATTGTTGAAAGATCCCCAAGTTTTGTTTGCTGGTTATAAAAATCCCCATCCATTAGAACATAAATTTGTGGTGAGAATACAAACTACCTCAGATTACAGTCCGCAAGAAGCTTTCACCAATGCTATTACAGATCTTATCAGTGAGATATCACTACTGGAGGAAAGATTCAAGGTATGATATTTAAATTCTTTTTAGTTATAATAATGATACCGGTACTTGACTTTTGATAGAACAATTCTTATTGGCTCTTATAAGTTTAAGTGGTTGTACAGAGGATTTTTATCTTTTTAAGGTGTATCAGGGGCCATTTATGGCTTCTATTTGCATTATTCATTAGTGATTTGTCTGCAATTCCATGAAATTACAGATAAGCCCAAAAAATCTTTGGGCCTTTGTGACAGCTTTTCGATGAAATACTTAATTTTAGTGGAATTGTAAGAATTGTTATTCTTTTTAACTATGTTGAATAAAGGGTGAAATGTGAAATATTTGTTATTATAGTCAACTGTCTCAATTTGCATGTTTTTTTCATAGCTGTTCTCATGGGGCAATGGCAACAATCATTTCAACTATTGTTTATTATTGCAGGAATCTGTAAAAGAAAGAGCTGAAGGAGAAATATAAAGTACAGGAGAGGTCAAAGGTTATTCCAATCTTTGTAAATGTAAATATTCATTGTGTATAAAGTCATCTTATTGTCATTGTAAATAAACACATCAATTTCTTATTCTTGTATTTGCTAAAAGCTTTTTCAGTTTCTCAAAAGACATTCCACTTAAGTATGACTCAATATTGTGATAGTGAGGTTATAAAAAGCTTAGTTTAAGTAGAATTGTGACAACCACAGACATCTGACTTGAACTTGGAAATCAATGCTATCAGTGATCCATTTAAATATTATAGTTTCAATTGCCAATTAATTCCATCCATTAAAATAGATTTAATACTTAATCCATGCATTTCAAAGACCTTGGTTAGCTCTCATAAAGGGTCAAACTGCTAGCAAAGCCAATTGTGTTTTGAGACACCCTTAGATTTCTGAATTTTTGAAGTTTTATATATTTTGCATGATCAATAAAGTAAGAAAATTTTTACTAAAAAACCTTGCACATACCTGAATAGATGAAATGAAATAATTTCACTCAGAACAATTTTAGAAAATAGTTTTATATTGACATAATATAACATAATATAACATAATAAATACACATAACATAACAATTTATATAACAAATTATAACATCTCTTTACCATTTGAAATAGGTTTTTAAATGTTGAATTTTGATCATATTTCAAATGATTTTGTATGCATCCATCGAAAACACCTTTATACTCATGCATGTAATGAAAGAAATGTTACGAGAAATTAAACAAATATTATTGTGTTCAAATTAAAAGATTCACGTTTCTTTCAATTATAAGCAATGGTGAAATGAAAAGTTTTACAATTGAGCAATATGTTGCAATGAACAAAATTAAAACCCACTTTTATCTAAGCTTATCACAATTCAAAAGACTACTTCAAATAATCTTTGATTTGAATTGAAATAAACAACTATAATTGGAATTTCTTACAGACTATTACTTCTATCAATTCAATTGTTTTTATTGTAGACAAACTGCATGGAAAGGAAAGCTAAATTTCAGTTCATCGTGAACAAATTGGAGGACTCAATCCCTTTGATAACATATTGCATATCATATTGTCATCACAAAAATGACCTTTTATATTCTGTTTTGAGACCGAATTCATAATACCAATTTGTAGTTCAAAATGGATTTAATTTAACTGTGTCAACCTTCTCCTTCAATAACTCTATAAAACTATTTCCATTTATAATTTTAGTTGTGGCTATTAAATAATCTGTTCCCCCTGAAATATAATTAACAATAGATTAGACTTGTATTACTGATACAAGAATAGATCAAAGTTTCAATGTTTTGATGCCTGATAAGGCTTGTTGAAACTTGTATGATTATCCCTGGTCTCTCTTTATTTTCTTGTTTCTTTATTTCAATCTTGGTCAGAAAATGAAATAGTGAGTCAAAGGAGTAAAATTTAAGGGATTGTAAAGGGTTCCCTATACTTGTCATCTAGTTAAAATATCGTTAGGGTTTAATGGTTGTGCTTAGGATGTGGAACAAAATGATGTGCATTTCATAAATCTGGTTTAGGGAAAGTCTTATTTTGTGAATTTTCTTAACAAACAGAAATTGCTTTATTGAAAATTCAGAAATTGTTTTTTTTTAGTTTTTTTTTTTCGCACCTATTAACAGTCCAAAATAAGTAATTGATTCTGGTACGAGCACAGAAAAATAATTTTTTAAAAATTGTGTTAAAACAGTTTTATTAAAAAGTTTTAAATAATGGCTCTGAAAATAGGAATTGATGTATGATGATGGAATGAATTAGGAGTGACATATTGGAGATAAAAAATAAACCAAACCATAATAAAATAATTTTAATAAAAAGTCAAGGGCTGTAAGAAGTCTGTTAATAATGTATCACCAGTTATTATTTTAGTGGAAGCTACAATATAGTCTGTATGACCTAGAATATTTATATCATAGTACAGAAACACTTGTGGGCAAGCTACATTTTATTTCCTTACAATTGAAATTGTAGGACACCTTTCTACTAAATTCTCTTGACTAAGATATCTGCCTTTGAATAGGATAGGACTTGTGTATTGATCATCAACTTGTAGGACCTAAAATATTTCTACCTTTCAATGGTTTTGTAGTTTTCATTTCATTGTACACTTCAATGGGACAACAGTGTTTTAATCTAAACCTAACCCTCATAATCTTCATAAAACATCCTGGTTTTAGGACTTTCTCAAGCTTTTTCACTGATTTTTATAAGATCAGTGCCAGATTATTTCAAATGAACAGATATAAAATTCATTAGACTAAGAAATGCCCAATCCCCCCCCAAAAAAATAAATTTATGCCCATCTCTGATGCCAAATAACATTTGAAAATAAACACAGAGCTGTCAAGGGAGATCACTAACTTTCCCCGCTCTTATGTAGTCCAAATATTGGAATAAAATCTGTGTGAACTCTCAAGAGAAAGGAATATACTAACCATCATCTTGTTGTGCTAGGAATCTTAATGCTGCTATTTCAGCATATGTTACACCTCCCAGAAAAAACACCAGAGTAACTTTCTGATCTCCAGTACTGGAATGTGATGATGTCATTGAGTTTCCTGAAAAAGAGAATATCATGTTATACTAGAATCATGGCCATGTTATCAGAAACATAGTTACTTGACATGGTAATTCCACTTTTCAGTCGTGTCTGTTAGTCTTGTAATTTCACTCAAACTAAGTGTTTGATGAGGTCACACTATCCCTTTAAGTGACAAATGACAGAAAAATGGAATGATGCAAATAGAAGCCATAAATGGCCCAGATACACATAAGAAAAGCTGGAAAATCTCTCTTCAATCTCAATATGAATACTTAAAATTGTTTATATATGATATGGGCGCTGCACTTAATTTTGTAGCATTTGTTGATCTGTTAAAGTTGCCAGTTTAAAATCCTGAATCATAGTTTCTTACTTCTTTTACGTAATGCTACAGGAATTTGTTGAATTTCTTCAATCTTTGGACCAGGTAATAAATTTAATACTTCAGTTATACTTCTCCAACCTGGACGAGCTAAATGCTGGGCCAATCTAACACTCAATGGTGCATAACCACTATATACATAAGCTATATCAGTTGGGTTCTGGAACATAAGTCACTGAATATGACATTCTATTCGATTACAATTTACGAATATTAGGTTGGTAATCTCCCAAATAGAAGAAATTTCGCACAGAAAGATATAATAAATTTTCATGTGGGCACTAAAAAGAATTAACATATAAAGTAATCATCATATGTCTTTAAAGGAAATGTCATATTTGAAAGTATCCAACCTGTTCATGAACATCTTCTACAATAAGTCGTAAGGATTTTCTGATGATGGCGTAGGTTCTGGTAGAACTGGGTCGTAATAGACCTGTCCTCTCTAAATTCATTAGAGTTAACATGTGTTCAAATCCATAGGTCTGAAATAATATCAAACTTAACTTTAAAGCTATCATGTTCTGACAATATTAAAGATGATTTATCTTTTCATAATTTTGCCAGCTTGTTCTTTATTGATCGAACCTATTTTTTCTACATATGGAAGCCAAAACAAAACTTCAGAGTTTAGTTTCAGATTGAGAGAAAGAACAGGCAAACAATAGGAAACATTTTATTTGTATATTACTACCATGCATTTAAATGCTTCCTTGACAATTTTTGCTGCATTTGTAGACTTACATTGAAGCAAATTCAAAATATATGTAATATAAACCTAGATCAAGTCAAGTGAAATATTTGGAAAAATATAAGAATATAGAGTTGAACTATAGACTGAACGAGTTAAATACCAACCTGTATAATTTCTCGTTTATAATATTCTAATATTTTAGGTTTCATTCCATCATTACAATATGACTGGATACAGATTAATCTTAATATCTACAAATAAACAAGGTCATTATCTATGTGATAACATAATCTTAATCTGCCGAGAAATCCCAGGACACACAGACATGGAAAAACTAGCATCCTCAATATTTGTTCAGTATCCATTGGAATATTTTGTGAATTCATCCCATACAACATAGACATTCTCAACTCAAATCTTAGCCCCCAAACTTTGGACTTCTATGTCTATGCATATATCATACAATGGTATCAGGTTTTCTTAAAAATAATATCATGGATAAGACAATATTGTGTAGTCTGTGGTCTGAATTCATAAGTCATAAGAGATACTGTAACAGTCTTTCATACTCCATTACAAAAAATCTAAATACCTTTGTGATGGGATGTTTTTTAGCTATACATTCTTCAATATAAGGATGAACCTTATCAGTATCTAAACCATTAACAAAATCTACAAAAAAAAAACTTTAATTTAAATCTCTATCCAAAACCAAAAAAACTTTAGTACTTAAGATAAGTTTGTCCAGAAATTCTTGACTCCTAGAAATCATAATGGAGAGAATTGTCCCTTCTGTCTGTTATTCCACTAATCTCCCCTAATCATGAAAATTATAGGGGCTGTGCTGTAGCTCAGAACTCAAGAAATCTTGAAATAAATGGGGGCAAATTATCTGGAAACTTTACAACCTGTGAGATTTGGCTAAGGACAAACCAGCAGACTTGATTCTTACAGCTAAGATGATGGCTTTTATTGTTCTCTCTATACCAGCAGATTGATCAAGCCTTCTGACGGATAAACCAACTAACCTTGTTGACATCTTAAAGTATCCATAAAATCTTCAGAATTGGTTGCTTCTTTTACTAATTCAGCTATAGATGTATCTAGAAAACATAGGTTTGTGTCATGGTGGCATTTTGAATTTTCAATTATGGCATTTGCTGTTTTAGTAGTTGGATTACAAAAACAATTTTGCAATGAACCTCGTATTTCAAATGATAAGCTTATGGCTAATTTGCTTTCTATATCACCATACTTATTACAAATAACTGTCAGAAAGTTTAATGAAGAAAGAAATGAAATGAGATTAAATTAAAAAGACTAATTCATATTGCACACTTGATACTGACAAATCAGATGAGTTAAGTTATGGAGAATTACATCCCAGTACTCTGAACTCATAAAATAGAAACTTACGTGTAGCTAAAGACTCTCTAGCTTTCTGTAGATGAGGTAATTTGGTTACAAACTGTTTCATTTCACCAACTGTTTTAGCTTGATGTCTTTCCTGTAAGAGACACATTGGAACTATGACCTATGACTATAAAACCAGTTAATAAAATAAGCAAGAATGTCCAGTAAGCTCAAAATCTCTGTTTCCCGTAAGTGAAGCAAGAGACCAGTTTCAGGGTGGAGGAAATAATATGAAATGAAGCGTTACATCCTCCTTTTCTGCACCGGTTTTGGTTACTGAAGACAGGCAGAGTGAACTAAGAACATTTTGACAGGACAGCAGCACAAGTCTGCTCTTTTTTTATTTCCAAGGACATTTAACGTGCACAGTTTGACCTGCATAATAAACGATTGGAAACCTTTGTCTGGACAGTTGGTAACCTTCAAATTGTGGAATTTTATTTTAAATTATGCAAGGATGGATCCAAATTCTTTTAAATAAGTTTTTATTCATGATTTGTCCTGTTTTATGCTGAGTGAGAGACTGACATGAAATACATCTACTTCAAATTAAACTTACATCAAATTCAGCAGTGATAGCTTTAGCTTTCCTACTAACAATAGATCCTACAGCATTAAAATTCTTATCTCTAAGATCAGCATACAGTTCATCGGAGGAATTTAATACAAACTTCTTTGGTTCTAGTGGCTCATCTGACTTCTGATTTTTAGGTACAAACTTCTCTGCTGGTAGTTTCACACTTGCTGGAAGAGATAAATGAGATATTAAAATGGAAAGGTAGTGAGGTTAATTCTATAATTGATAGAGGGTAGGACTTGTGACAGATTCATTGCAGTGAGAGTCTAAGCCATAACTTGTAGAAAATATCTTTTTTGATTAACATTAACAAAAGTTAACATACATTTTGGCATGTACGGACTCAAGGGCAGAATCCGAGCAAATTGACTTACTATTATTGAGTCCAAAAGTCTCATCAATCAAACCTTCGTAAGTTAATTGTGATAACAAGGGAGTTAATAAATCTACGTTTCTATCTATAATTAATAAATTATCTATCTGTGGTGTTATCTGAGGTTCACGACCTCCCAACTCTCCTTTCATTCTTCTCATCATCTCCACTACTTGCTGAAAGCAAACAAAAATTTTTTTTTGATTGAACTGTAAGGAAACCAAACCAATCTGGATGAAATTTGAAAGGACAAAAATCTAATGATGAAATATAGGGGGCTTTTAGTGGGCTTTTGTGGTACAATGATAGTTTACTGTGGTCAGAAAGAAATATTCTATCTTCATTACACCTGTCAAGTGCAGAAAAGTAGAATGTACAAATCCTTTTTAATTCATAGAATGAAATTCCCATGTAACTTTCATAAATTTTGTAACCAAATATATCTATATGATTGAAGACTTATTAATGAACTTCTTTTGAACATATTTACCTTAGCACAATCACCTTTACCATTAATATAAGGTATAATACCATATAGAGCTTGTAATGTCATAATAGATTGAGCTACATAAAACATAGATGTGAAATCATTCTCTAGATAACATTCCTGCAATACAATAGATAGTAGATTTATACACTGTTTTAATTTCTAAAACAGAAAATCTTGCTAAAAAAGCGTCTGTTACAACATTCGAATTTCTCCTAGATCTAAGTCAAGACTAATAACTGAAATATAATTTATCAATACTAATGAAAAATTAATACCCAATCTTTTTTTTATACCAAGTTTCATTAAAATCAAAGCTTCATCCTCCTTTGCATTCACCAGTCAATATAAAAAGTGAAATAGAGCAGTGATATATATTGTTATGGTCTACCTACCCTAAATGTTGTATCCATTTCCATAGACAACAAATCATTATCAAATGGTACTAATTCTAAACTAAACTCATCTACACTGGTAAACGTACCATATACTCCCATTTCCTTCAATATAATGACATGAGCAATAAGTCATAAGGGATACTGATTGTACTAATGTACCATTCATGTCAGACTTAGAGTCATTTACAGTATTATTTGAGATAGATTTCTTCCATCCAGTCACTTGATTTTTTGGATAATCAAAAATGTACCCTTGTGCTAAAATGACAAAAAATAAAAATGATAATTTCATTTTTAAGTGCTTCAAGCATCTTCATTCAATATTACACCTTTCTATGCAAGCATTCACATCTATTTTCCAATGATTTTTCTTGACATTATATATCAGTCTCTAATAGTATGGTTACCTTTAATTTCTTTTCACATAATAGACTTTTCCTAGGAACAAAAATAAGATGAAATTCTGTTCTTAGTGTTCCTTTTTGGTCCTCACTGAAATAAATAGATATCATGAAAACGTGAATCATTGTGATACCAGTGTATACAGAACTTAACTGTACCGTAGTTTTTTTATCCTTCAGTAACAAAGTTTTCTTCTCATATACATTAGGTTCAGTTGAATAATTCAAATAAATTAGATTTTGATTTCATTATTATCCTTATAAGGATAAAGATACTTAGCACCAGAATGCCAAATACAAACGAAACTTAGCCAGGTCATAAGTCTATTTTCTTTGTATTACCAATTATACAAGGATCTTTAAATGTACAGTCTGTATCTCAGAGGATCTTAGCTAATTGTCTCATCTGAACAACTAGCCACTCTGACCTACATCACTTAAAGAAGGGGGTAAAAAAATTATTTCCTACTTACTTGAGTAGGTTTTGGGCTATCAGTTCCATAAGTTTGAGTTTTGGTCTGGTGAGAAAAATGATATTTTGTACATTGCTGGGCTGTAGAGTTTTAGGACCCAGTGGGAACATCTTCTCAACTTCATGATCCTGAAAAACATACTTAGAGTAGATCAATTGAGCCGATGAGATATCATAGATTAGTCTCTCTGACCAATATAATATCATACAGTTTGTTATTAACTGATACAGATACAGTTAGTCTACATCAAAAAATGGGGTAAATTAATCAATGTTAGGTCATATTAGACCAAACATGCAAAGTTTCAGTCTAAATCCTTAGTGAGATAGATCATGGCAATATATTATAAACTATCAGCTTTCATGATTGTATACAATACAATAGAATTGTAGGCCTACTCCACAGTTATAGAGTTTTATTATAATCTTTCAAATGTTATATTATATAAGCTTAAATGATAGAAATATTACAACAATGTTGATACCAACCTTTAATAAGGAATATTCAGCAACCAATCCAAAAGGTCCAGTCAAAGCATCATCCCACACAAGTGCCTGAGTGAAATATAATAATTTGTATCAATAATTAGCTAAATAAGGAAATGCCATTACTACTGCCTCTACCTCTAAAATACCAATAGCTTGGGACATATTTGGAGAGTGGCTTTAAGTGACCATGAAATTCTATTGCTTATTATTAGAACACCATTGGTAAGCAAAAAACAATATCTTAATCAATGACTCACAATGATTGGAAAATTGACTGTGGTCTGAAATATGAATAAATAAAACTTTTCCCCGAATGTACTCAGATTGCACAAAATATCAGACAAAAAAAGGATGGTTTTAATCTTTACCTTAGTACCAGTACACCTGTCAATGCATTCAACTAATTCTCTGCGATAATGATCTCTTAGAACTCCAAGATTTATTTTGCCAGAGCTCAAGTGGGAAGATCCAGAGGTAGCCATTTCTTTAACCAGTTGCCTCCCTTGAATAGTTACAGACTACAACTTTACTAAATAAGCCAGTGAACAGGTTAGTACAAACACCGAAATGAACTCAAATGAATAATTTGACCATTGATTAACGGAATTGTCTTACTTGTACGGATTTTTATTATCACATAAATTTGAGTTTGTTGAGATTTAATAGTAGTTTTCATATCATGATTGTCTTTGTTTATGAACATTCATAAATTCTTGAAGGATATGGCTGTTAAGGAGTAGGTTAGTAGGCTATGATTATAAATGACTGAAAATTGCTTTTTTTTTCACATGAAATGTGAAGCCCATGTTTTCATCACCAATGGTACGTTTTGCAATAGCAATTGAAGGAACAATTTCAATGGATTTTGATTTTTAACCCATAAAATCAGACAGTATTTGATATAATTTACTGTGAAACGTTTTTAAATATATTACCGTAAACACTCCAGAGGGCACCAACTAGCCTATAGAGAACTGGAACACTGCCTTCACGCCTACTTTTTCGGAGATAGTGTTCACCGACAATCAGCTAGCTGTGAACAAGTTTTGCAAGCTAATAATGAAATCCATTCAGCCTAAGAAATGTTATATATAATGTAATATTATGCTGACCACAGACCACAATATAGTCAATTATTAAACGACTATTAGGACCACCCAGTGATGTTTATATAGAAAATATTACTATCTCATCGGTAGTGTCTCATTTTCGTCCATCCTAAAGGTCCACTGATTTTTCACTAATTTAATGATTATTCTTACCAGAAGACCCCAAAAATTCCTCGATTTCCTATTGAAAATGAATCTAACCCTATCGAGCGCTGGAAGTAAAAGTGCATTTCTTTTCAATTCATCTCATATACCAGATAAACCCAACCCTTTCTTTATGAAATTCTCCTCAATGATTTATACCAAACATCGCTCGGGAAAATTTTACCAACCACTGTAATTTGCAGGACAAGATCTTGAAATGTATTCATAGATGGTCAGGTATGACCATTATTTCTAATGAATAAGACACTTCAGGTGTATTCGGTATGAAAGGGTTAATAGGTAATAAGTCAGGTGTTGCAATGTAGAAGGGTTAAAACGTGTATGAAATATTTGGTTGGTTGAACAAGTATAATATATCATCTTTACCTATAGCTCGTACACAGTTATAAGATACGTAGAAGGATTACGAATAGTCTTATATCTGCCCTCATTTCTGACAACAAATTTCCTTGACGAAATAAAAAGGATGAAATGATACATATCACAAATATCTATCGCACGAATGTTATCTATTTGTAATCTAGGCCCTGTATCTCTTGACTTTAAAGAGGTTAGGGGTATGTGTAGAAACCCCAAAAAACATTTCTTTTGAATAAGAGTTCTTATAGTACAGTAAGATATCCCATTAGTAAACAGAGTAAAACAGCAAAACGAATATCTTAATTAAGTGGAATTGCAAAAACCACAGAAGTCAGATTGAAAATTGGAATGGTGCAATTCGATACTATCAGTGTTCCGTATACACATAATTTTATTCAGAGAAAAAAACTGCGTATGTCATCAGATGTCTGAATGTAAAACTAATGTTAAAATCAGCTTTTATTCATCGAAAAATACTTTGCATAAAAAGATTTGAAGATATCATTGTCCCTGATAACATCCATCATTTATTCAAAACAAAGTTGGAGATTCCATCCATTCAGCTTTACTGAAACTGCTGAGAGTGGCATAATGGTGCTGGGTCTGTGGACAGCGCCTCTCAGCACAAAGGATATTATACATATAGCATGTTACAGTATCTATGCATCTGATGTCTCGACGAATAACTGACATTCCATCAGGACTTGTGTTGTCAGATTTATTCTCAGCACATTTTGGGGATCAAATTCGCTCCGTCAAGCCTGTGTCATACAAAAAGTAACATGATTTTATATAAAGGCTATACAGAGTTTACGGGCGTGACATAAACCCCAATTTCACATATTTTATCTTGTCTCGTGTATTTTTTTCTTTATTATAAGTGTTCTAAGCCTACTAAAAGACTTGGTTTTTATGGGTAAGAAGAGGTTACTAAACGGGTCAAAAAGCCAAATTAAAGAAAACTAGAGAGGATCCTAAGTAATTTTAATCTTAAGAATCATTAGGGCGTTCATCTGTTAATAAATGTGTGTTTACATGCGTAGAAATTATTTTTGATGGATATCGTTTGAAATAGGTGTTTTATTGATCAACTACAAACGATTCTGGTGCAGGTAAAAATCTGGCTTTGAATTGGATTAAATCTTAACTTCTGGTAAGTACTATAGTTGTTATTTTGTCGTAATGTTTCTATTATTTTTCTCAAAAACGTTTTTTTGCTGAAACTAAGTTATATACAGTATATCCATTATCTTTCACGTTTTTTTCCCCAAAATTTGTGTCAGAAGGCACCAAATCAATTCTATTTTTTCAAAATTTTCTTGTGGAGAACCTTTTCAGAAGTTCAGTTGGAGGCTCTTAGTTAATGCGCTTCCACGAATCTCATATTCGACGTTTGATCCACCATTACATTTAGTCTGTCTGTTCTCTATTTGTAACTTAAATTTCGGGAGCCTGGCGCCTCCACTGTCCTGTGGTAAAAATGAGCATTTCATAATATATTGTACAGTGCGTGATATAAATCACAAATATGGAACGAAAGGAGATCGGGAAAATTCAATTTTTAAGTAGATATAACGGACAGGGGGCAAGAGGTATTGTACTATTTTCTGGTTTTTCTTCCAATTACCTACAAGGGCAATCCAAATACAAATATATCAAATTGGAAAATAAAGAATATATCTTTTCAATATTTGATAGACTTTTATATATATTTTATGACCGTTTGTGTCAATATATCTTTGATCATTTCAATTGGGGTTAACCACATTACATTCATATAGGACTAATTTTTCACATGATTTGATTTTAAAGGGATACTACGTCTTAGAATAAACATAAAATTTAAAAATTTTAAACCTGGCCAATAAGAGCATATTTTCATCAGTAGATATATCTGGTGTCATAATAACGTAACAGGATCCTTATATCATCTGATAAATCCAAAAAACTTAATAAAATGCAATTAACTATTGAAAAACGCTTAATATTATGATTAAGCGTTTTTCAATAATTACTTAGTTTTATGAATTTTCCAATTTTCTATATTTTACAAGGATTCTGTTGTAACTTTATGACACCAGGTAAGTTCACTGATGAATATATACTCATATTGACTATGTTCATTCTAAGACGTAGTATCACTTTAAAAACTGATCAAGCATATAACGCAATATATAAAGATATAGCCAATTTCGTATACATGAAATGCCTTTTGCGCAAAGAAGTTTTTAAATCTTCAAGGGAATAGAATTGTTTTACTGGCGTATGAGACGAGAAAATATAATTTCAGCGGCCAGTACCACTTTTCAAAATGAAATTCCGACACCCGATCATTCTACAGATAAACAATATGTTTTCTGGTATATTTTGGTGAAACAAATGTCATAAATCTTTCCCATTTTCAGATGATTGGAATTAAGTGTAAATTCTTCCTCTAGTCAAAATAACAATTATTTGACTTACTCATTTAGATAAACATTGTGTATTGAATAATTCGCACACTTATCACGGCAAGGGCACACACAAATACGCTGAGTTAGTAATAACTTGACATTGTGAAGATGGGGCACGCACCAAACTGTGTCTACGAATGTATTTTGGCGATTAAAAACAGCAAATTATTTCTTACAAAGTCATGTTGATTTTATTTAATAAGTAACCAGAAATAGAACGAGAGATGGGGGTTAGAAATATGATAGCCTTGAAGCAGATATAAAAGAAAAGTTGGCGACATTTCTCTGTAATATTTGTTACTCGCCTTACATGACGACCTGTCAAATACCTTATCCAACATATAATATTATTGGTACATCATTGAAGGGGGACTGTCACTGTAGATCTTTCTATTTTTCAAAATTAGAATTGATTGCTTAAATTCATCTTCTGATCCAAAGAAAAAATTTAATTTTTTCTTCTCTTCTATAGAAATATATGTCTGTTAGATTATGATTCCAAAATTTGACTAGTTACACATTCGAAAATGTGATCTACCGCCATACATTCAATTTTTAGATTGAAGCCAAATCAGATGATGTTGGACACAGTACTGACTATATATATTTATCAGGGACTACCCCCTTTGAATACTAAGTATCAAGTTTCGCTTAACAAATAACATAGTTTGCTTAATTACTTATAGCTTCTAGTTACAGGATTTTCTAAAGAGGTGGGATCAAATACACATACGACAATAAAGCACCTTTTAAACATCCTTATGCGAATTCGCAAACTTGCGATCTAGTGGATTACCTCTTTACCTTAAGTAAAGTCTTAAACGTATGACACCAACCTTTATTTTTTCGGTAAGTTTTGGTCTGTTTCAAGAATAATTCCCATAGCGTGATACCCATATTCGTGTTTAGTTGTCAAGGTAATATTAGGACTGTATATCAAGATATTCAATAATTTATATAGATATACAAAAATTACATTGCAGGCATTGTTTGCTGTGAAGATGAAAAATAAGATCAAAGTTCAGCAGTCATGGTTACCAAAAATATAATTGGTAAGTTCATAATAATATATTTTTGAGGTTATACTGAGTTGAAATTTGAAAATGATCCAAATTTATCTAGGAAAGTAGGTCTTTAGAAATACCCTCTTAAGTAACTAAATGACTTGTGCGTAATATTTGACTAACAATTTTTATAATATTAGTCTTTATAATTTTTGTAATATTGGATTTACAATCTTTGTAATATTAGATTTACAATTTTTGTAATATTGGATTTACAATCTTTGTAATATTGGACTTACAATCTTTGTAATATTAGACTTACAATCTTTGTTACATTCGTCTTATAATTTTGTAATCCTTGTTATATAACGAGTAAATGTACAATTCTTTA